CATGGAGCCCTGCTTGGGAATTCAAGCCCTGAGAAAGTCCTTTCAGCTGCCACCCTTGAGTCTGGCATGATGTGACATGCACCCCTCATTGTGCTGGGCATATATCACTATTCATGTAATTCCACCTCCCTCTAAAAACCCACAAAAGAAAAGAATTGAGCATTAGTGCTACTTGCTAAAATGCTAATGAGCTCATTTATAATGGAAATCCTTTGGGCCTTAGCAGTATTGTGCATTCTCCTCCATGAATCCTATATTGTGCCTGTTTGGGTCTTTAATGGTCAGCGTAATTAATTGCCTTTGTGGGCTCCCATTCTTGGCACAGCCCTTCAGCAAGAGTCAACATGTATTTATCAGCACAGCCCCAGAATGGCCTCTCCTTTCATTGTTGCTCAGTTTTGAAGTTGAGTACAATTGGGTATTTATTTATAGAAATCAGGCTCTCATAATAGAGCCTTGGTTTGGATGGAGTGACTTCTGTCTGAGCAGAGAGTGTGCTGAGACGTCACCTCAGACATGTGTCCCTATGCCGGACACCCAGGCAAGGTCATTCACTGCTGATGCTTGGGAGGTGCAGGTCTCTGATCTCAGCTGGCTCGGGGACAGTGACTGGTAGCAACCTCCTGAGCAGGAAGCACAAGTAAAAGGTTGTCTGGTGAGCAGGTTGCTAATGTGGGCCTCCAAGATCTCCTGTCCTGTGAGCCGGAACCTGGAGTCACTCTGTGATCATGCTGTGTATACAGCTTGGTGGACTTTGGAATAGAGAGCTCATCTAGAATCAACACTTAGAGAGTCTTTTCTGGCTGGTGGCAGAAGGGGAAGGGAGAGGATTCTAGCACAAGCAGCCAGAGGTGGGGAGGCTCCTGTGATGGGACAAGTTCACAGCCAACAGGGCCTCTATCCCGAAACTGCAGGGACTGTGCTCTGCCACCATCCTGAGTATGGCAATGCGCTGTGCCCAGCATCCTGGGAGAGGGTGACCCTGAGCAGAGAAGCTGGCACACTGTGACTGACTCCTGGCCCCTGGAACCTGTGCCATGGTTGATGTGTGTAGTTCTAACCCACTAAGAGTGTGTGAGTTGTGACGCAGCCACGGCAATCGCAGGCAGGTGTCAGACGCTGCTCACACAGGGGAGCCCTCTTGTCCTGGAGCTCCATGTGGACCCCACCTTCTGATGCTGCTGTTGCTCCTGTGATGCTTTGTTTTCTTTGGAGAATGACTCAGCGGTGACTTGGCTTGCAGTGACCATGATCCATGGTAACCAAGACAGTTTTTTTTGAAATCTAGCTCACTCACTCAAAGCTGGAAGACCCAGCTCCCGCTGAAGATTTCGTGCTTATCTCACACACAGTCCAGCCGCCTCTGTTTTACTGACTTCTGTTCCCTTTTGTAAGTAGGTTATAACACCCAAGACCGATTTCCTGACCTGCTATCCCAGACCTGAGCAGTCGTTGGAGCTGATAGTGCTTCTGGAATTTTTTTTTTTCCAGTACTGGAGAATGAACCCAGGGCCTTCACACTGAGCTACATCCTCAGGCCATTTAAAAATTTAAAAAATTTTTACTTTTGAGACATGATTTGCAAAGTTGCCCAAGCTGAGTTCAAACTTGTGATCCTCCTGCCTCAGCTTCCTAGAGTGCTAGGATTACAGTCTTGAACCATGCCTTACTTTTTAAACTACGAGTCACCTACTGTCCTTTAAGTGAATTTCTGTGTAGGAAATATTGCTCAGCTCAGGTAATGGCCCTGCACGTAGTCGGCCGCCCCCACCCCCACCCCCAAGGCTCCTCCTCTCTTGATTGTGGAACCCTCTGCCTGCTTGTGCCCCTCCTCTCTGTTGATAGCCTGCTCCTCCATCCAGTAGATGTAGCCGCTGCCTCACCAGCTTGCAGTGTGGCCTCAGCCTGGGCTACGCAGACCTGGTGGTGCCGGGTAGGGAGGAATTCCTTTGATTCTGAGACTCTTGCTTGCTTGACCTGTGGAGGTCTTACAGAGCATAAGCCTGCCTGTTTGCCCACACTGCTGCCAATGTCACCATTACTTTATTTACTTTCTCTTGCTAATGATGGTATCTCATTGTGGTTAATTTGCTTTTCTCACTGTGGGAGAAGTGTCTCTTCATGTTGGGAAGGCCCTGTGTACACCCTTCCATTTTCCTTAGTTAGGTCATCAGCTTGATGTCCTGAACCCTAGTCCCACTGATCTGCTCTTCGCAGCCCTGTACCTGGTGGTGGAACTCACACACAAGTGTCCTGGGCCTGGGGCCTGAGTCCACTGTTGACACCCAGCTCTGCTGGCCCAGGGAAGGGAGGCTGCTGGGGTGGAGGAGGAGGCTGTGAAGGGAGGGAGTTTCTTGCCACCCAGTGGGAACTGTCACTGTGGCTGATGACTATGACTGAGGGAAGGCGTGGCCCAAGGAATGTCACCTTCGCCACTCCCAGGGCTGCAGGCCCCCACCCCAGAGGGAGGAGGGGGTACAGGACCCTCAAGGATCTGTGGGAAACATCTTCCCCACATCTTGGATGGTGAACCAGTGAGAAAGACCTGGGAGTGTTCGGTGCGACCACACCGATGTCTGATGATGCCATTCCTGAGAGCTCCAGAAAGGCGACTGGGCTTGGACAGCACTCAGGGCCTTGTTGTGGCAGAATCCATTACAACATCTTAAGGAAATGGGATTTTCACACATTTTTGGCCATGAGATTGCTCCCTTCCCCGTATGACTAGAAAGTCTCATTTGGGAGTCAGCAGGAGGGTCCCAGAATAGGGCCAGTTTTCTCAGCACACTGGGATTTTCCCATCAGGAACAGCCTTGCCTTACGCCCACGGCCATCAGGTCCTGTGAGATCTGACCCCATGGGGAACAAGGTGCTCAGGATCAGCCAAGGTGGCGCAGACCTCGGGCTGTGCTGCTTCTGGCTTCCACGGCCAAGGGGAGCTGTGGGGCTCCCTTTCCTGTGGGTCAGGCTGTCTCTGGGATCTTGTTGATAGGTCACTAGTGTCACGGCTCCTCGGGGATGGGGGACAAGGGCAAGCAAGGCTGGACACACCTTCCTCCCATCCTGCCTGTGGAGAGGCCATGGCAACCTTGGCTTCTCTGCTGTGCATTGTAAACCAGCCTGAGGGTGCCGAGCAGAGCTAATTACTGTCAGACGCGAAGGAGGGAGCAGGAAGCTGATGAAGGCTTTTAGCATCGCTAAGTGTTGGGATGGAAAGGCTGGTTTTGGGGGTGCTTCCTGCTTTCTGCACCCCTGCAAAGGTCAGCAGGAAAGCCCCATACCAGGAGGCCTTGTGTTCTGCTCAGGGTGCCCGGGAGAAGCCAGGGATGGCTGCCCCAAGGAAAAGATGCTGCCACAGCACCCTTCCCACCTCGCCCAGACCCCTCTCCTCTGTTTCAGAAGTGCTGGTGATAGTGATTTGAGGGATGTCATTTTCATGTCCCTGAATAACTTTAGATTCTTAAGAACTTTCGACTGTTAATCCCTTAACTGTAAATGCCCAGTGTCCATGTGCATGTGCAGTTAGAAGATAAACATGGATTCTTCAGTGACTCAGATATGTTCTAATTACATAGTGCCAGGTGATGTCAGTGTATGCATCAGCGTGTTAACAGGCACTTTGTGGATCGCTTGGGTTTAAATGATATTTAACTTGGCATGAGCAGTAGGAAGCAGATGCAAGGACCCTGCAGGGGCAGGGGTTCCTGGTGGTGGCTGTTCCACCTGACCAAAGCCACAGGTCCGTAGGTGTACAACTGAGAGGCACCGAGAGAGGTGGGCAGCTGTGGGCCAGGTGGAGCACCCTCACCAGGCAGCAGGGCTGGGGGAAGTGAGTCCCATGGGCTAACTTTCCTGAGGGAGGGTGGGTGACAGTGTGTGAGTTAACCACTGACCCCATGCACAGCAGCAGCTCCATTACGATTCTGATGGAGCTGGGAAACTGCTGTCGCCTGTTGACATCACAGCCGCCTGTGCTGTCGTGCAGCTTGTCACTCGAATGTGGCGAGCCTGGTGTGAGCCTCTGTACTATGGACCCTACGGAAGCACAGAACAGGCAGCGACACGCCCGTGAGCACAGTGTGTAGACTGCTGTGCCGTGCATCACGGTTTCAGACATGCTCCTGCTCACTGGTGTACAGATGGCTGCAGGGCTCTGCCGAGTCTCGTGGGCAACTGCTCCATGCCTCTCGCAGCCTCCACATCCCGTGACCCACCTGTGCCATCTCGGCTGGTGCAAGGGTGCGCGTGGTGTTTGCACAGAGACAGGATCTCCCAGCTGCACACTTGATATGTGACCCTAGGAGGGTGTGAGGTCCCAGAGCCAGAGAACAAGGCCTGTTGGCTGAACTGGGTGCCTCTTGGGTGGCCTGCGCAGCTGTGCCTGTGCACAGCTCCTGTCCTTCTCTGTCTCCCCATCACTGTGCTGTCCTCTTCGTTCAGATCTCCTAATTTTGGCTTATTCACCACCCCTCGGAGGCCCATTCTGTCCTGTAGGCTCTTTCTCCATGTTGTTCTAAATCTCAGTTGTCTTAATTCATGATCTCAAGGTTGGCGCTCTTGGGAGCATCTTTGATCAGCCATTCTGGGACAGGGCTGAATGTGGCTTGGTGCCCTGTGGTCTAGAGGCGTGTAGAGAGGGAGCTGTGACGGGGCACACGCAGATTGGCTTCAAGGCAGTGCCTGCAGGCACGGGCAGAGCCCGAGTGTGCTTGCTGTCCTGACTTCATGTGGTCTAATTAATTAGCCTTAGGTGCTTAGGAAATAAATGGCCCTGCCCTGCCACTGTGGGAGCCTGGAGTGATGCCTATGGCTCCAGATGTCACCAGATAAGGAGCAAAGGCTCGACTGGTTGTTCTCAGTGACTCAAGGACCCTGGTGTGAGCTCCTCCAAGCCGGGCAGGGGATCGTGGGTGCTGGGTGACTCCCTGCCCACTGCTGCCCGGAAGGAGGGGTTCCTGCCCCTGTTCCTCCCTGAACACTGACCAGCTATGTTGTTGCAGGCTGGGAGTCCTCCGTCCTCATCAGCTTTGGTGTCTGCCTTCTCTCACACTTCTGTCACACCATCCAACCAGGACATCTGCAGGTAACACTTGGCTTCAGATGCCACCACGGTCCGTGTGGTCCCAAATCAGCACTGTCGGTAGGCTCTCGGTTTTCTGTGTGCTAGGCGGTTCTGCCCGTGGTCTCACAGTCGGTCCAGTTTGTGTGTTCTTTGCTCAGTGCCCCACACAGGCCTCATGCCATCACCGTGACTGCTCTCTGAAATGGTCTCACTCTCTGCTTTATCCCACTGTTCTGCATGCAGTTCCAGCGCAGTGTTCTCTGAGTTCTGTCACCATAGTCCTGTGCGGTCTGCTGTTGTCTTGAAAGCTCCTCCCTGCCAGAGTTCTCTGACATCAGGGCTCACTGTGACAGTTGTTTGTAAAGACATACTGCAGGCAACCAAGAGAAACCCCTCAGGCCTGGAATGGGCTGAGGCCTGGAAGCCTGGCCAGAGCACCAGGGCTGGAAGAGCCCTGAAGTTCTCCAAGTCCCTGAGTGATGTGGGGGTGAAGGGCCAAGACGGCCTGGACAGTGCCTGCGTTGTGGGAAGAAGCAGCTCGGAAGGGAAGCTGGCCCTGGCCCCAGGCCCCAGTCTCAGGGCCAGCAGGTTCCTCCTCCAGGGATGGAGAGTGCCAAGCCGTGCTTCTGTTGTCCGGTCCAAATATGCGTGCATCCCGCCCCTCGCTGGGCCCCGGCCAGCTGTCTGGGAGGCAGCTGCTGGCAGGAGGTGTGACCACAGACCCCGTTGGGAGGAGGAGGCGGATGGTGAGGCGATGACGCCTGGGAGCCGGCGCCTGCTCCACTACCTGCTCTCGCTGTCCCGGGGTTCGAGCACCAGCAGCCTGCACCGGTTCCACGATCTGGAGGCCCACGCTGCCCACCTGCACGCCACCCCCTCCTCCAGTGGGCTGGCGGGGAGCACGGGCTTCTGCTCCGCTGAGATGGGCGACGACGATGTCTTTGAGGACAGCACCTCCGCTAGGCTGAAGAACAGCATCCTGCGGGCGCCCCTCTGCTCCGTGGAAAAGGACAGTGACCTGGATTGCCCCTCACCCCAGTCTGCAAAGCTGCCCCCAGCCTCCCCCGGGTCCACCTCTGGGGACGCCTGCAGGTGGGTGTGCAAGGAGTGCACCTAGCCAGCCCCGCTTGGACCACCGCCTCACTGGCTTTAATATGTGAAGTTTCCAGAAAACAGAGCCCGAAACAGCTTAGCTGGTGTGGGCTCGTTGGTCTTCTCCAGGATGCAGAGCCCTGATGCCATTTAGAAAACCCATTTTAAACGAGGAAGAAGCTACACATATTAAAGGCCAAGATGACTCATTGCATCTAAAAATAAGTAGACTTTTGCATAAAGAGATTGGAAGAAAAAGATAGTATTTCTGGTCTTCTGCCCTGCTGGTTGTTTCAAGCATGTGCTCTCCACCCCCATGCTGTTTGTGCTTTGTGCCCCCATCAGTGGGGAGCAGCTGCTCCCCAGTATCCCCTGTCCCCCCTCCCCATGAACTGCTCCTGGCCCTCACAGCACCCACCCTGTCCACTCAGCACCTCATGTGGCCCCAGACTTGCCAGTTTTCCTGCTCCCCCATTGGTAGCAGCTGTGACTTTTTTTTCTCGGACCCAGCCAGGCCAGCCCGGCTGCTGTGAGCATGGGTGTCCCTACCTGTCCCGGCTGCAGGGAGAGGGCCCCGTTCTCAGAAGCTGGCCTGAGTTCCATGGGGTCCTCAGTGACAGTCTGCTGTACTTTAAGGCTAATACCCACTTGGTGGCACCACAGCACTGCGTGGCGAGTTTTGGGCGGAGGAGAGGGGCAGGAAGGGCTGGCATGCCGTGGGGTGCGGGCAGCTGCATGGGAAGCATGTGTTATCACCTCCTGCTTGCTGTGGGTTTGGCTACGTAGACAGTTGCCTCTCATTGACCCCTGTGTCCTAGACGATGCCTTCTGCTGCCTGAACTCATCTCTGGGGGGCTCTCAGTGTGAATGCTTTGCCATTTGTCACATTGCTTTCCCATCTGTCACACTGCCTGTCTGACTTGCTGTGTCAGTGCGGTAAACGAGAAGCTTTAGTTTCTAGTTGCTGTTTTCATTTGTGTGTGTCCGTGCTGATGGTCATTTTTGTGCTATTTCTCAGTTTTCTTGGGGGACTGGCCACTGGGCGCAGCCCCACCTGGCATGGCCTCCCCACAGTGACACCATTCCCTCCCCTGTTACAGGATCTGCCACTGCGAGGGTGATGACGAGAGCCCCCTGATCACACCGTGCCGCTGCACGGGCAGCCTGCACTTCGTGCACCAGGCCTGCCTGCAGCAGTGGGTTAAGAGCTCTGACGCGCGCTGCTGTGAGCTGTGCAAGTACGAGTTTGTCATGGAGACCCGGCTGAAGCCACTGCGGAAGGTAGGAGGGCTCCGGGCCTTTAGCTGTATTCGTCCTGCCACACCTACCAGGACTGACTCTCAGAGCCCAGTGTCTCCCCCAGCACTCAGCCTGGCACTGCACACCTTGTGTCTGTCCACACCGGGACGAGAATTTGCTGGGGTGGGGCTGAAGCTGTGTTCGGGCCCCAGACCCTGCTTCCCTCCTGGAGGGGAGAACAGTGGTATCTGTTCATCCAAATGCTGGTAATAATCTCTCTTGAGTGCCCAGCGTGGTCACATTGAAAAATAAAAGATTGTTCTGCCTCAGAGCACTTAGTAACCACTTGCCGGGACTCACAGGATAGAGTAGCAGCCCACAGCAAGGCCGGCGCAGTGGGTCGGAGTTGACAGTGTGGGGCCTGAGGATTGGGAAGAGCCCTACCTGGGCCTGAGGGGGCCAGGGCAGACATGCTCAGTTTTGAGTGGCTCTGGAAGGAGCGTGGGCCCTGTAGGCAAAGTGAAAGAGTTAGAGAAGACAGGTGTCTATGGAGAAGAGCTTCTGCCAGCCATGTGGGGACGTCTGGTCTCAGGGTGAGGCCCAGGCTGGGGTCCTGGGCAGTAGCAGGATGCAGGACAGCCTGTGTCTCGGGAGGAAGCCAGGGATTGTGCTGGGGTCAGCCCCCAGGAAGCAGTCAGCAGTGCTGGAGAACACGGGCACAGACAAAGGCTCTGTCTCAGTAAAGGTCTGGAATGTATTGGGTAGGTACCTGCTCTGGAATGGCTCTCAGGTGAGTTTACCTGGACAGTCCAGGTAACCTGAGGCATTGCCATCAGCTCATCTGCACAAAACAGCTGGACAGGTGCCATGGCCTGTGTTGGCCAGGGCTTTGCAGAGTGCGCAAACTGTCCTCTTCACTTTTCTGTGTTTTCTTTTGGCTGGGAAACAGTGAAAAAGAAACTCCGCTACTTGGAATCAGAAATTGCTCCTTGCAGAGTTGGCTGCACCAGGAACTCAGCCTGGTTCCCAGCTGTGCTGCTGGGGCCGTGGAGGACCAGCAAATGTCCCTGCCTCTCACCCACCTGGCTGTGACACTTGGTGTGCCTTCGAGACTTGAAATGCAGGTCTGGGTCAGGACTGAGGTCCAAGTCTTGTGTCTTTTGAGCTGCTGAATGTCACAGCAGGAGGAACAGATGGCTCAGTGCTGGCTCCATGGTCCCAGGGTTCCAGCGCACAGGGCCTTGGCAGTGCTTGGTCCCAGCTGCAGTGAGTGCTTTCCAAGGACTGCTGTGGGGAATGGGCACGTTCATCCAGCTGGAGCAGTTGTCACCTGTGGCCCCATCACCCCCGGGCAGCCCTGCCCTCTGCGCCCCAGGCTTACACTTCACATGTCCTCTTTCCAGTGGGAAAAGCTGCAGATGTCGCCCAGTGAGCGTAGGAAGATCATGTGTTCGGTGACCTTCCACGTCATCGCCATCACCTGCGTGGTCTGGTCCCTCTATGTGCTCATCGACCGCACCGCTGAGGAGATCAAGCAGGGGCAGGCAACAGGTAGGTGCTCAGAGAGTGGCTCACGGGCTGGGAGGGGCTTCTCTGTGCTGCTGGAGGTAAAGGTCTCAAAAAGTCAGTCAGAGGATGGGATCCCAGGACTCATGGTGGGAGAGCCTGTGGTGGGGAAGAGTGATGGTCAGGTTGTACCCGCTTCAGTCTCCTGGCGGCTGATGGCCTCTCCCCCTTGCAGGCATCCTGGAGTGGCCCTTTTGGACTAAGTTGGTGGTCGTGGCCATTGGCTTCACCGGAGGACTTCTTTTTATGTATGTTCAGTGCAAAGTGTACCTGCAATTGTGGAAGAGACTCAAGGCCTACAATAGAGTGATCTATGTTCAAAACTGTCCAGAAACAAGCAAAAAGAATATTTTTGAAAAATCTGCACTAACAGAGGCCAGCTTTGGAAATAAAGATGGACATGGACTCTGTCGTTCCGACACAAACTCCTCTTCCTGCACAGATCCTGAGGACACCGGGGCAGAGATCATCCATGTCTGACGTTCTGGACGTCTGCGGGACGCTGAAGGATGCTGTTTACTGCCAACTGTGTACCTTTCTCCTGTCCTCTAATAGCAGAGTCGGCAGGCGATGAGCTCTGCTGGCCTCAGTGGACTCTCCTCAGTGACCAGAAGCCATCCTGTGACCAGCGTGTCAGGATCCCCTTTGCCTGGCTGCTCTGGGGGTGGGAAAGTGGCAGGCCCCAGGGGCCACCATGGGGGAATGGCTCAGCTCTGCCTGTGGTCTCCACAGGGTGAAGAATAAAATGCCAAACACGAGGGGCAAGCTGGAGTGGGGTGCGGCGGGAGACAGCCCTGCCCTGCCCCAGCCGCACCCTGAGCCCACAGCGCCTGATTCCCTGAACAAGCAGCACTTTACAAAAGAGTCTTTATTTTTTAATAATGTGTCTAGCGGGATTGACACTAAAAAGCATCACATGTAGAAATCTTCCCTTCATCACTCTAGTTATCTTTCACGTGGAAGTAGATCCGAAAACCTCTGCCTTATTTATTCTAAGAAGGGGACCTCCTCCCTGTGGGACATGATACGTGGACAGCGCTGGTGGGCACTGGGGTGCTCAGTGGCAGCGACCAGGCTCCTAAAGCCTGGAATCTGTTTCCAGGGCCACCTGTGTTTTTTCTATGTCGGCACTGACAAAAGAGGCTCTGGATGGCAGAATAGGAGGAGAGGAAGGGAATACTTCAACACAGCTGAGTGTTTAAATCATGTCCTTGAGACTAGGGACAGAGGTCTCTGGCTGCTGCTGGTTTTGCAGGAAAGGATGGCCCAGTGTGCCTCGGTGGTCCAGGTACCTGCCCCAGGGCAGTGTGGAGTTGCTGCAGGGCCCAGAGGGGCTAACAGACTACCCAGGGCCACTGCATCACCACCCCCGCCCCCCCAGCATGGCCGTAAGGGACTGGGCAGACAGGGTCCTCCAGAGCCTGAGCCTGCTCAGCCTCACCCATCATCAGGTTTCCCTCTGGCACCATTCATGACACAAAACCAAAACCACCACCTCAGATGGCCTTGTCCTTTCAAAAAGTCTGCCTGACTGTTCTCAGAGCGAGGTGTCCCAGTGCCAGGCAGACAGTGAGCTGGGGAGGCAGCCAGGAGCCTGCACCGTGAGCAAGAGGCCCAGGACGCACTCTGGGCCATGGCCACTGCCAGCACTACTGTTTGCACAGCCTCCCGGCAGGGACCTCACAAACAGGCGGGCTTGCCCGGGGAGGGATCCTGCAGGGTGAGCTGCCCCCCTACTTGGCAGGTGCTGACCACAGCTGCTCCTGAGGTCATCTGCCTTCAGCTCCCTGGCCACCTCCAGCCTGTGCCTGTGCCCACTGTGCCCAAAGTGCAATTACCACGTCCCTCGCAGCCCGGGGACACCTGGCAGCTACAGGCTGCCCACTCAGGGCATTGAGCCTATCAGCCCTGCCCAGACCCCAGGAACTGCCCCGCAAAGCCTGAGTCCCGTACGTCTGCCCTGCCTCCCTCTAGTGGGACTTTGTGAGCCCTGCCCCCTGGTGCGCCATCCACTGACCCTGGAAAGCTCTGAGACTCCCATGGACCAGGAGCGTGTGCAGTGAGGGGCCTGGCACCCCAACAGCAAAGGTGTACCTGCCCGTGTCCAGCCAGAACGCCTCTCCCTCGTCAGGAAGACCGGCGCCATCTCCTCTCTGGCCACTCTGCCGAAGGGGGCCCACATCCTCCCCGACCCCAGGGCCTTGGCCACCCCTGTCTTTTCTGACCATGGAGCCCTCTGCACTGCCCACTAGGGTGGGGCCTGGCTCTGCCCATGTCCTGTGGGTGCCTTTGCCCTCCTGAGTGCTGGGGTGTGGTATTTGTCCTTGATCTCACCTCCTTTCTACCTGGATTCAGTGGAGGATGCTATTTGGCTAAACCACACTGAATGCTGAGCTCAGGGGATCTCGGGGCCAGGAAAGTGGAGACCACAGGCTCAGGGTGTCACTGCTGGCCCTGTCCGACTCAGCGCTGCAGCCCCAGCACCACTGGCAGACTTCTGACTTTGGCTCCTCACCCAAGCCTGTGGGTGAGTCTGCCTGGTGCTGTGGACACCGCTGGGCGGACACCTGGGAGCTGCTGCTCCTCCCTTTGGATCTGATTTCCAATATGCAACTTTCCTGTCTAGCCCAAGGAAGGACCCAGACACAGGGAAATAGAAGCATTTATCTCTTCTGGAATTGTTCGAGGTGCGCAGCTGATCTGTACGTATTTAGATGCAATGTTTATAAAAACTTGATTGTTAATAAAAACCAAATTTACACTGACATGTGTGGTGTATTTTCTAAAAGGCACTTCACATTTGGAAATTTTTCTTAGGAAATTTCTCGCCATCTAAATGTCTACTTTTGTATCCTTTATGTATTTTCACTGTCTCTCAGTATTATCACCTGAGTAACCCTCTGTGCAGGGAGTCCGTGCATCTGACTGCAGCAATAAAGCCTTTCTTCACTAAGGAGTTTGCTGTGGGTGTTTCCCTTTGCCAAGTTCCTCCTGCTTGAACACCAGGAAGGAATGTCACGTATCCCCGGCCCAGTTTCCTTGGCCTGTTCCTCAAACCGGGTTTGTGGGGGCCAGGAGGACATGAGGGGAGTAAGAGGGAGGCATTTCATCCAAGCATGGTTGTTGCTGCCACACCCGGGTGTCTGCACCATGGCCCAGCCCATGCCCAGCAGCGTGGTTGCCGCAGCAGCTCTGCTCTGCCAGGCTGAGTGTCCTGGCCTGCGTGGGCTTCCCTGAGGTGTGGTAGTGCTCTCGTCCTCGGGCTGGTGTGCCAAGAACTGGTGCCTCTGCCCTGCTGCTCTCTGGCTGGTTGTGTGGAGCCTGGGGGAGGCTTGCAGGCTGCTCTGTGGAGCTGTGGCTATAGCCCAGAGCTCAGGGGAGGCTGCTCCAGGGCCTCTGAGTCTGTCCAGGAAGGGCCAGCAGAATATCCCGGGCTCAGAGCAACCCAGTCCTGTGAGGATGCGGCCATGCTTTGGGGACCTGATAAAAATTAGGACTTTGGCTGAAGAGACTCCAGGTGGCCTTCTGCCCTAATATCAGCTGGGTGATCGAGGCTTCACGGGGCCCAGGGGTGGCTCTTCTGTCATGCACTGTCCAGTGAGTAAGCATGGTGGGCACTCATGGCCTCCTACTAATTTCCTGCCACCTGGCACAGGTCAGGAAGGAGTTGAGCCGATTGAGTGGTCTGCAGAGCCTAGTGTTTACTGTGTGGCCCTTTCTAGGAGACATTTGCCCATTGCTGTGGTTTGACAGTGGATTGAGTCCCCTGAAGGCTGTGTGTGGGGCTTGGTCCCCGGAGGGCACTATCAGGAGGAGCTGTGGATCTTGGGGTAGGCCCAGAGGGAGGCCACTGGGTTGTCCTGCTGGAGTCTGGGAACCTGGTCTCTTTCTTCTTGTCCTTGCTCCTGTCATAGCTATCTATCCCCTTAGTTACCTAGATTTCCCCTGGTGTTACGATCTCTTAGAAATTTTATAGTTTTCCATTTTCCATTTAGGTCTGTGATCCATGTTGAGTATGTGTAGAGTGTACATCCATGTCTTCCTTACTGGAATATAGGAAAGTGATTGATTTTGTATATTAACCTTGCATCCTGTAGCCTTGCTGCTATAGTTGCTTATAAGTTTTGCTTATAAGTTTTAGTATATGTGCTGCCAAAGTGAGCAGTTTTAGCAGATTTTTTTGTTTTGATATTTTATTTCTTCTCATGTATACTTTTTGTTTCCTTGTCATGTTCACTTAGGTAGGGCTTTGTAACTTTTTTCAACATCTTATGAAGATTCTTAAACACAAAACATTTAAATAGTGTAATGAGAATACACATACCCCTAACCTGTGCTCCCCAAATAATATTTTCCTCTGTATGGTTTGCCATACACCTCCATGTTCATCACTATTAGCTTGTGTTTTTGCATTTCAGAGTAAATTGCAGCTGTAACGCACTCCAGCCATGTCAGTAGGTAGAATTCAGTATTTGCCAATTGTGCTTTTTGTTTTTAGGTAATTGTATAGTGAAATGCATAAACCGTTTTTTTGGTACCGGGGATTGAGCTCAGGACCTTGTGCTTGTGAGGCAGGCTGTGGCACCACTGAGCTAAATCCCCAGCCTGAAATGCCTAAATCTTAAGTGTACCACCTTAGCGGGTTGGATGAATATATACACTTATGTAGCCCAAACTGGTATCAAAATATAGTGCATTATCTCAGTCCTGGGAATTCCTTGCTGTTTCTTCTCAATTGCACCTGCCTTCATCTCCCATTCTGAGATAAGTTTTAGCCTGTTCTAGAATCTAATTTTAACAGAGCCTACCGCATATGCACCTTTTGCGGAAATACACAGTGTCTTTCATGGAGAGTTTTACCAGTCAGCATAATGACTTGGAGTTGGCTTGTACTTTTTCCTGTCGGGTAGTATTCTGCTGTAGGCTATACTTCTCTTCCATGTTCTTATTGCTGGATACTTGAGCTGTTCACAGTTTGGTGCTATCACAAATACAAACGCTAAGAACAGTTTTGTACCGATATTTTTGTGATTATTTTCTTCCCTCTCAAGTAAATACCTAGGAATGGAATGCTGGTTAGGGGTGATAGAGAAGGTTAGACTTTTAGTCTTATTACTGTATATTGATACACATGTAAAATCATAAAATTCAGAATCCCTGTAGCTCAGTAAGCTTATACCCACTTGTCTTGTGCTGTCTTCCTACAAAGTGAATTTATATTCATTATAGGTGCCACACAACAGTGCTACAGTATTTGGTTTAAATGGGCAGGTGTAATTTGAGGGATTAAGAAGGGCAAAAAAACCACAAAATTTTTAAAAAGGGCAAAGTCCTTTACATTCACCCTACATTCCCCATTTTGGACTGTTAATTCCCTCTGAGGACCCGTGTTCCCACCTTGAGTCATTTCCCATCAGCCTGGACAATTTCCATTAGCATTTTTAGTACTGTAGATCAACTGGCAGTAGGTTCTCTTAATTTTATTTTACTGGAACTTTTTGTTTGCATTCTCAAAGGATATTTTTGATGGTGGCAGAATTGTATTGGTCAGTGTTTTTTCCCTCTCTTTTTACTTCTTTTAAAATAATACTATTCCATTGTATTTTGTTTCTGATGATTCAGATGAAAAGTTGGCTGTCACTCATTTTTGTTCCTTGATATTTTCTGTGTCATTGCTTTTAAGATTTTATCTTTGACTCTGATTTTGAGCAGGTTGATTCTGAAGTATATAGGTAGTTTTCTTTCTATTCATTCTTTTTTTCTTTAAGTTGTTTTATTGATGACAGAAACTGCATAATTACAGATTTGATGAGGAACCTGCAAAGAATAAAGAATGTTTCTGTTGCCAGCAAAATATAATTACTCCAGGTCCCTTTAGACAAACAAATATAGAGTTCTTCACATCAGATGGCTTTTGGGCAACAAAGCCATTTTAGAATGTTTAATTGTGCTTCTAACAAAACCTTCACAGAATGAGGTAGTTTCCTATTCATTCTACTTGGACTTTGCTGAGTTTCTGGCAGCTTTAGATTTATGCATTTCACCAAATTTGGGGAAATTGTGGCCATATTTATCTCCTCTAACTTTTTGCCCTGTTTTCTTTTCTTTTTTCTTTTTTTTGGTACCGGGGATCGAACTCAACCTTTTGGTTGTGAGGCAGGCATGCTGCCACTGAGCTAAATCCCCAGCCCTGCCTTTTTTTTTTTTTTTTAATCTCCCTTCTTCTTCCGGGACTCTGATAATGATAAGGGTGTCCCATAGATTTCTGAGGCTTTATTACTTAAATTTCTTCCTTGTACTTTGGATTGAATCATTTCTGTGGATTGTCTTCTAGCTCAGGTTCTCTGTCATCTCTGCTGCTATTACAGCCCTTCAGCTGTTTTTCCTTGTATATTTTAAGATTTAGAATTTGCATGCACTTTACTCCTCCTCTTGTTCTTTCCCCATTTTTTATAATGCAGTTTTATTGCTGATATATCCTATTTTTGCATAAAGTGGAGCACATTTTCTTTGCTGAATTCATTGTGCTCAATTCATGGTGCTCAATTTGAGCACAAACATAAAAGCTGTTTTTTAAAAAATGCTTGCGGATGACATCTGCCCTTCTTGGGATTAGTCTGTCTTAACTCTTTTCTCGAGAGAGTGGATCACATTTTCCTAACTCATAGTATTGTTGAGTAATTTTGGATTGTGTCCTGGCTATTTTGAATGTTGTTTGGTAGAGATTCTGAGTTCTGTTACCTTTCTCCAGAGTGTTGACTTTGTTGTCAAGAAGGCTGTCAGCTTGGTTGAATTTAAACTGAAAATGGTTTCAGACCTCACATCTCAGTTTGGTTGCACTGTGGTTTGTCTGTGTGTGTGTGTGTGTGTGTGTGTGTGTGTGTGTGTGTCCCTCCAGAAGTCATTACATTGGAACTTACAGCCCAAAGGCATGGTAGGAGGCGAGGCTTTGGAGACGAGGAAACTACGAGGGCTCCCTCTGAGTGAGTGAAGTAACGCCTTTAGAGAAGAAGCTTGGGAGAGTGTCCACCTGTGAGGACACAGCATACCAGGTCCCCTGTTGAAAGAAGAGACCAGGCCTCACCAGTCACTGGACCTGCCAGTACTTTTATGGACTTCTAGCCTCCAGAACTGTAATAAATAAAGTTCTATTCTTTATAAATTACCCAGATGGCAGGGTTTTGTTTGTTTTTGTTTTTTGAGACAGGGTCTCCCTGAGTAGTTCAGGCTGGCCTTGAACTCATGGCAATCCTCCTACCTCAACCTCCTGGGTGCTGGGATTACCAGTGTGTACCACCATGCCTGTCTGGTTTTTTTTTTTGTAGCAGTACAGATGGACTAAGGTTATTGCATCCTAGGTTGGATTGTGTGTAGCTTACTGTATGCATGCATCATGGCTTAGGGTCAGGAGTTGGGGCAGAGTTTATGGACAGAATTTGGGACTCTTTCTCCTGGGGCAGCAATGAGCTCTGCTACTCAGATATCCAGTGGTGGAACAAGTGATGGGCGGCCTCAGCTGCATACCTTGGATACACTGTGTTGCTTGTGCCCACACCCTTGTTGTCACCCCCACCAGCTGTAGGCCTTGTGTGTGGGCGGGGCTTAGCTAAGCTCCTATTCCCCAGGAACCCTGGCTCCCCTCTCCTTGGCCAGGAGACCCACCTCTCTGCCTTTATCTCCTCCTGTTCTTTCCCTGTCCTTCCTGTCCCTCCTCATGGCTTCCGAAGGTGGAATGTGGAGTTTAGCGCCTCTGACATGGCCAGACATTCAGAACATGTGTCTGAAGGTTGTCCACAGGGTGATGAGAAGTTCTCACCAGGGTTGGATCTAGGGAGTCTGGCTGGAAGCAGCTGATCTCAGGCTCTCCTGTAGATGTCTCAGGGTCAAGACTGCACCGAGGGGCTTGTGCCCCAGGACTCCATCATACCTCCTCCTACGCCAGGTTGGCCGAGTAGGAGCTGTGATCCTTGCCTCACAAGAAGACAAGTGCCCAGCTCCCAAGGCACGCCTGGAGGAAGAGGGAGGAGGCCCGAGTCCCCTTGCCAGCCCTGGGCACAGACATGGTGGGATCCCCATCCTTCCAGGGCACCTTCTTTGGGGGAGAGCACACAGAAGGGCAACAGCAAGGCTGGACAAAACCCTGGAGAGAAAGCAGCTCTATCTGGAGGATAAAGGAGGCTTCCCCTGGGGTGGGGCACTGGACAGTCTCCTCAGAGGCAGAGGCCAGTGTCCAGAGGACAGTGGGGAGGCTCTTGCCCAGGCAGTCACAGTGACTGGGGCCTTTGGCAATGGTGGTGGGCTATGAGCTGTTTGGGGGTGGCTGGAACATAGCAGGTAAAGCAAGACCTGTTTTAAATTTGTTTTTTATGACAACCTGTTCTTAATTCACTCAACAGGAATTTATTTGGGCACCTACTACAGGCACGGAATTGGATTAATCATGAAGAGAACAGGAAGTGTCCCCACATCTGCAGTAAGAGCAGGGTGGTTACCCTGTTGTGCTGTCACCAGCAGCTCCACCACTTGCTGAGCTGGGCATTGGGCAGAGGTTCCTCAGTTGGCTCCAGGGCTGAGGCCTGCAGGGCTTGCATTCTATCACTGAAGGATGGGATCCTCGGGCCTTGAGGGCAGAGCAAGAAAAGGCACTGAAGCTTTGTTGTCCTTGGTCCTGGGGCAGCCTGGGGTGAAAGCAGCACACCTGGGCATGGCAGCAGCCTGCCCAAGGCCGGCATCCAGTTGGTCTTCCCAGAGGGAGCCTGGTACAGTGGGGCTCAGATGGCCACGCTGTTGGGGATCCGGTCTGGGGACAGGTAGTAATAGGGCAGCTTTTTGTTCTTGTTGCGTTCTGCAATCACACTGACAATGGCCTCCAGGCTCTTTCGGAAGCGGGCCATGGCTTCCTTCACAGGCTTCTCAATGAAGTGCTCTTCGGGGTACATGCCCAGGAATAGCTGAGGGCCAGACATGGACAGACAGGTGGCTTAGTGTACTGTGGGACTCCATAAACAGATAACCCTCACCCCACCCCAGAACCTACTCCCCAGGGGAGCCTCTGTTCACCTACCATTTCTGCTACCCTCTGCCACCTGCAGGAGTGACAGTCACAAGAAGGACAACATCCTGTCACTTGAAACAACATGGTAAACCTGGACATTATGGTAGGTGAAATAAGCCAGGCATAGAAAGATGGCACGGTCCCACTAATACATGGAGTTTGAACACCTTAAAGTTGAGTAGAATGTGGCTACCAATGGGGAGAGATGGGGAGAGGTGGGTCAGTGGGTACAGGCTGCAGTCAGGCAGGAGAGGGGTCCTAGAGGGCTGTGGCACGGCAAGGGACTCCAGTTGACAATATTGTAAAGTGTGTTTCATAGTAACTGGGGGCCTGTGTCCACCCACAAGGCAATGGTGTGTGAGATATTGGATCTGCTAAACACACAAAGTGATCATTACCGTGTGTGTGCGTGCGTGTGTGTGCGTGCGTGTGTGTGTGTGTGTGTGTGTGTGTGTGTGTATTGAGACATCATGCAGAACTGGAAGTATGTATAATGTGTCCATCAGAAACAAAAGGAAACTGAAAGCCAGGGCGATGCTGCCTCCAACCTACTTCCCTGAAGAGGCTCCAGGGCCCAGACCTGGCAGACAGGTTTACTAGGAAGGACCATGTCCCCTGCAGGGGCCACAGGGAGCTAGCAGTGGTCCAGCACAGTGGGACTGGCTGGGGTGTCCTGCATGATGCCCACCTGGGTTCCAGGCCTGTGGGGTCCTGAGCAAGGGCCCCGAGGGTCAGGGAATTGCAGGTGGAGCCTCTGGGGACCTGTGCTCATGTGCCTGCTCACACAGATAGCAGCACAGTAAGACTGGACTCATCTGTGGAAGCACTGTGGGATTGTAAAACCAGAAGGTCTCAGGTGGGAAGGGCAGTGGGATTTGGACGTGGTGTGAGGAAGTGAAATTCAGTCCTCATGATCTGCCATGATATTCTTCTACCAGGAATGCTTCACGCTGATGCAGGTGCAAGGATGGCTAGGAGGGACCAGCACCGGGCTGGTGACTGGCTCCTCCCGTCCACACACCCGAGGTCCTACCAAGGCCTGTGTCCACCCAGGAGGGCCCCCTGCCCCCGTTTGGCGGTGGGGTACAAGTGTGCACCTTTAGAAGGGGCAAGGACTCTTCGGGGGTCAGAGGGCCCACACCAGAGAGCTTAGTCCCTGAGAGAAGCGGGACGGGGACGCGGCGCCCTCTGGCGGCAGTGAGTGGAACCTGGTGGCACCTGGCCCCTTCTGCCCCTGCAGGGTGTCACTCAGGCTCCTCGCTTGCAGGATAGAACGGTGGAGCCTGCCCTCCAGCGCCGCTGTCCCCACCCGCGCCTCACCTCATTCTCCTGCACCTGGCTCAGCGCCCACACAGCGCCCAGGTGCCAGCACGAGCGGCCACGGTCAGGCAGCGTCTCCACGATCTGCTGGATAGTCACCACTCCTTTGGCCGTGGGAGGCGGGGCCCGCATGGTAGGGGGCGCGTTGGGGATCCAGGAGCACCAGTCGTACTGGGGACAGCGCAGACACACGGGTGGGGCCCCGGAGTCCAACTGCGCTCACGCGGGAACCTGCGCCGGACTGACCATGGTGGTCCGCGCCCCTCCCGACGCCCTGCCCCTCCTTAGTGGGGGCCCAGCATATGCCCCTGGGTAGGTACGGCAGGGTTAGGGTTAGGGTCAGGGTGAGGGTGAGGGGCCGGCTTGCCCACCTGCCCGAAGTTGACAGCCGCGTGCTGTGCGGACGCCGTGAATATGATCACGGTCAGGTACTCGGTCAGCTTCTCCCGGCTCCGCAGCGCCTTGGGGAAGCCTGGGGAGTTGGCGTTGTGAGTCGGGACCTAGCCCACCCGACCCGACGCAGGGAGACACCATCAGTGAGATGCCCACCTGAGGCCTTGCTGCCTCGCATGCCGTACACATAGACGTCCTTGGTGAAGGCCTGCAGCTCCACATCCTCTGCCACCACCTGATCACTCTCATAGTAAAGGCCCACGACCTCAGCCACAAAGCTGGGGAGGGGCAGCTGATCAGCACGGGGTCCTGGGGACCTGCCCGGCTGGTGGGGGGCGCCGTCCAATCCCAGGCTCCTCCCCAGGGTCTCCCTCCTGGTGGTCCAGTCCTCCCCCCATGGTCTAGTCCATGGGGCTTCCCAGTCCCCCCACCCCCACCCCTCACCCCCACCCCCCGCTTGGCCCAGCCCCTGGGCTTCCCAGGCCCAACCCCGCGCACCTGCGGATGGCCTCCCAAACCAGCAGACCGTCATCGCGGTAGAAGTAGTAGGGGATGTCCTCGGCAATGTCCATGCCCCGGGCCCGGATAGCCTCCGGGAAGCACAGGGAGCCATAGGTCAGGTACTGCATGGCGCGCTGTACCATCTGCACGTGCCCGCCGCCACCCGTGGCATTGGCCTGCAGGAGGGGGCGCCCCTGAGCCAGCGCCCCTGGGTAATGGGGCAGCGGGGTGTGGACGGAGGGCAAACCCCGAATTGGGGGCGGCGATCAACTTGGGAAGGGCAAGCCCCCAGTCCACCTCCCAGTGGCACCTGGACCCGGGTAGGTGCAGGCCCAGGGTCGGGGCTCATACCTTGTCGAAGAGGCCGTACTCGCAGATGAGCTGCTCTCGGGCCTTGGTGTTGATGGCAATGGTGAACCGCACGTGGGCCACCAGCAGCTGGGGGACAGCAAACCTCAGAGAGGACTGCCGAAGCACCCCAGCCCAGCCCAGGGTGCTGATTTTCCTGCTGAGAAACTTCGGGGGCTTGGGGCTTCAGTGAGCACCATGGCATCGTGGCGTCATCAGCACTTGGCTACTGCCTTGGCCTCCTGAGCACCTCTCCAGGGCTCTCTCCCCACAGCTACTCCCACCTACCAGCTCCTGCTGGGCAGTGAGCTCCCTCCCCCAGCAGTTGGCTGTACCTTGAAAATGGGGTGCACAGCGGGTAGCTGGCGGTACATAGCAATGCCAAACACCTCAGACACCAGGTGTGTGCGCAGCAGGTGGGTGATGGTCTGGTGGACATGGAAGTCGCTGGAACGCACCCAGATTTTAGCCAAAAGCCAGTCATATTTTGCATCCGAAGGGAGAAAAATGGGGTTCTCCTCTCCTGGGGTTTGGTTGAGCTGATAGGTTGAAGAGAGAAAAGGTACTGGTGTGTTTTGCCCCAGAGGAGCTGTAGGAGAAGCTGCCTCCTGGAAATCCCAGAAGCATCTAAGCGTCTAAGCATCTTCAGCAGCAACTTTCAGACCACGGGAAGACCATAGGGGTCCTAGGGGCCCAGGACTGATGCCTCCTGTCCCAGCCACATCACTGAGTACCACTGTGCCTATGTGGGCTCCAGCTCCTCCTTCTGGGACAGGGATGCTGGTGGAGGTGGCTTGGGCACTGCCTCAGGAGTGGGGTGCAGTGGCTGTGTCCCTTGCCCACATTTCTCCCTCTCCACTCCCCTGAGAGCTGCTTGTCCCCAGGGTCTCCTGGGTGCTCGATTCCCCTTCCCTGCCGGTTCCAGCCGCTCTGGGGTCAAAGTGGCTTTACTCTAAGGTGCAAGTCAGGTTGTGTTAATCTCCTCCTGAAAAGCACCTGATCACCTTTTTTTTTTTTTTTTTTAAATCCCAGTGCTGGGGATGGAAGCCAGGGCCTAGCACATCACTTTTACTGAGCTCCTGCGGTTCAGCATCTGACAGTGCAGCCCTGGGGAGGCAGGAAAGCTGGAAGGCACTAGCACTATGGCATCTACAGGGAGTCCTGGAGGGCTGGCATTTGAGGTGGCCTGGGGGAGCACTGCGTCACCACAGGTGCCGAGCCAAGAGCGAGAAAGGGGTTGGGGAGCTCTGGAGCTTGGAGAGAGGGCAGCTGGTGGGAGAGCCAGGGAGGGACAGCTGTTTGACAGTTGGTTTCATCCTTCAGGGATTTGGCAGGTGACTTCCTTGGCTGTCCCTCAATCCAAAACAGAGCTGTCTAAAAGAAATGTAATGCCAGCCCCTCAGGGAATGTCAATTTTTCAGGAAGACACATTTCAAAATGTAAAAGAAAACAGATGAAATACAGGTTAATAATATAACTTTATTTTACCCAATATAGTCAAAATATCACCTCAATATGAAGCCAGATTTAAAATTATTCAATAATATTTTTACCACTCTGAAATCTAGGGTGATAAAAATACATGGTGAATGTTTCAGTATAAAATTTTATTACAGTAAAAGACACATTGCCATTAGTACCCTCAAAATACTTCCTCTTGCTTTGAGCACATTTATTCCATCCTTCTTGCCACTTTCTGAAGCAGTTCTGGAAGTCCTTTTTCATGAATGTCTTTATGAGGAATGATTAGAAATATGGTAAATGCTGCTGCCAAGTGCCAGCCAACAGAAAGGCAGGCTCATAGAAACATCACAGTGCATCCTCACCTACCTTATTCACTGGATCTGGCACCATCAGCCTTCTGGGTCTTCTCCAAAGTCAAAAATGATCATGAAAGGTAAACAAGAGCAGCTACACACTCAGGAAAGAGGATTTCCAGAACAGCTTCTCAAAGCAAGAGAGTATTTTGAGGGAGATGCATGGAAATGGTCTTTTACTGTAATAAGTTTTAAAAATTTGAACATTCAAACATTCACTATATATATATATTTTATCACAATCGTACTTTGCAACCACAGTGGCTCTTGGTTTGGACCAGGTGAGTCTCAGCTCTCCCACCAGGCAGGGACAGGGCAGCTCTAACAGCCGCCCTGGCTATTCCTGGAGGACACAGAGGGTAGAGGAGGAAGAGCAGCTGCTGACTTGCACAGTGCTATTTATGAATGGGCTTAGGCGTCCATCTTTAACTGTCAGGTAATTTCAGGTAAAATTTGGATCACCAGGTAGGAGGCTAGAGAATTTTGCATCTGTATTCTTCTCACAGGGACCTAGAGGCTGGGCCTGCAGTGCCTAATGCCTGGCCACTACCTTCATTTTTAGCTATCTCCTTTATTACCTTAACATTTTGGGTCATATTCCTGGTGAGCTTGCACATAGACATGTTCACCACTTAAGGAGTGTCTTGGTTACTTTTCTAGTTGCTGAGACAACATACCTGACACCCAGAGTTAAAGGAGGAAAGGTTTATTTAGCTCCGAGTTCACAGAGGTTTAGGTTCATAGTTGGTTGGTTCCAAGGCAGGGCAGCATGGCAGAGGGGCATCGCAGCGGAGAAACAGTTCATGGCAAAGCAGGGCAGACACAAAGCAGCAAGAAGCACACCACAAGCAACCCTCTTTCTGTGCCTTCTATTTCATTCAGGCTACCCGTCCTTAGTCCATCTCTAAGAGTTGCCAAAGTCCTAACAGTTTCAGTCAGCCTTGCTGAAAAGTCCAGGTCCCAAGTCTCCTCTGAGACTTAAGGCAAACTCTTAGCTTTGAGCTCCTGTACAAACGAAAAAAAGAGTTAAATACTTCCAGCATACAAAGATAAACATTACCATTCCAAAAGGTACAAAAAGCGGGGTACAATGAAATGGGACCAAAGCAGGGAAAACATTCAGTACTGTAGTTGCGTGCGCAGCATCCAAGGTAATCTGTGGCAAGATGTGAGGTCCAAAGGGCTTGACTGGCTCTACCCTTCTGGCACTGCCGCTGTTGTAGTTCTCATGGCTTCTTTCTTAGGCTGGCTCTGCTCCTTCCTTGCAGTTTCCCTTGGATGATCCACATTCCCCAAACTTCTGGTGTCTCCACTGCACCTGTGGCTTCACACTCACAGCTTCACACACACTGCCTTCTCAGGAGCACACTGCCTAGCCTCCTAGGCCTTCTTCTGAAATGTGGGTGGAAGCCTTCCTTACTCCACAATTTGTGCATTTCGCATGCACCTAAAACCAGCAGTGTGTGGATGATACCAAGATCTGCTGCCAGCTGGAGGAGTAGCCAGGCTTCCTTCTCTCTTGGCTGTAGGTTTTGAGTGCCTGTGGACCAGATGCTGAGGAATAACTTCCCTATGCCTCCACAATGGTACTCTGGGGCTCTCTTCTCAAAGCAAAGTCTTTCACCTTTGCAACATTGAGGCTTCAAAGGCTGAAGTCCTGCTGCTTCTTGTGATGCCCTCAGGCCATCTTTTCTATTTTTCTCTTCTGAAATACTTGACTTTTTCTTGCTAGTCTTTTCAGAGACCAATTTTTCTTCTGTTCCATCTTTGCAGGCCACAAGTTTACTGGAGCTTCCTTTCTGACAAAACTCACACCTTTTTTTTTTTTTTGGTACTGGGGATCGAACTCAGGTCCTTGTGCTTTCGCAGCAGGAGGCAAAACTGCTGAGCTAAATCCCTGGCTCAAAATTCAAAACATTTTAATTCATTTTGCTGGGCTCTTTGCTTTTCATTCTGAGCATAAATCTGGCTAAAAGACCCCAACAGTAGCCATGGAACAGCCTCAACACTAGCCTGCCTTGAAATTTCTTCTGCCAGATTAGTTTGTTACCCTTAGTCTCAGCAAAGTCTCTCAACAGCAGCAAAATGCAGACAAACTTTCTGCCAAGCCATAACACACATTGTCTGGAGTCCAATAGCCAATGTAGTCCTTCTTCCCAACAGAAACCCGAGCCTGGTCTTACTGGCAGTGTTTCTATCAGCTTTCTGGTCTTCTGAGCTCTGAAAAGAATCTCCAATCAAGTACAGCCTAAGGCATTCCAAGGCTGCTTCTTCAGCCCACATCTCCAAACCTTCTCAAACTCTTCCCACAAGCAGTTCCCAAAGGCTTCTGAACCACAGGGTCAGGTACAGTCACAGCAACGACCCCACTTCTCTGGTACTAAATTCTGTCTTTGTTACTTTTCTCTTCTTGCTGAGATAAAAATACCCAACGCCCAAAGTTAAAGGAGGAAAGGTTTATTTAGCTCATAGTTTGTAGAGGTTTTGGTTCATAGTTGGCTGACTCCAAGGCAGGGTGGCATGGCAGAGGGGCGTTGCAGAACAGGCAGGCAGAAGGCAGCAAGCAGCAAGCAACAAGTGACCAGTGACCCTCTTTCTGTCCCTTATATTTTATCCAGGGTGGTACTCATGCCCTTAATCCTAGCACTGCACCAGGAGGCAATCTCAGTATCACACCCTTAATCCCAGCACAACACACCCTAGGTCCAGCCACCTTCAAAAAGCCCACCTATGACCACATGAGGCTTTGGGGGGACATCTAGACACAAGCCATAACAAGGAGAGTCTTCTTAAAAACTTGGAATACAGGGTTTATTGATCCTACATGTACATGACCTATTTCATCCCCCTTCAAGACCAAAGACATTAGGATTAATAGTAACTAAGGCATCTGCAAGATTTTCAGGGTCATTCAATTGCCAGCTTCTAGAGTGTCCTGTTCCAGACTCCTGGAGTGATCCCTAAATTCTGCAGTCAGTGTACTGAGTCTGCAGTCACCTTGGACTCCAGGAAAGGCAGAGCCTTGAAGACAGACCACCCAGGAAGGACCTGGGGCAGCCCCCGTCTCGCAGGAGCCGACTGCCCCTTCAGACCATCAGGACTTCTCTAGAGCCCCCACACAGAGCCAGTTCTGAGCTCACCGCCAGCCAGAGCACAGCTCAGCCAGGACACCTAGCCCACCCACTGCCCAATCCCCAGTGTGAACCCTCATCTTTACACACTTCTCCTTGGAACCTCAGAGTTCCTCAGCCCCTGAAGACAGATCTTGAACCTGTCTGTGCTTCTGGCACAGCTGTGCTGATTCAAGCTCCTTTCCTACCCCCCTCTGCTGGTTCCTTGATGGATGGATCGGGGCAGGGGGTTGAATCCTTTTGGGATCCCAGAATCTGAGCTTTTGCTTAAAATTCCACTAGCATTCTTACAGAACAATGCTCTTCCTCTTTGAAAGGGTCCCGGTGCTCACCGTCTCCAGGGTCCCCATCTGCCCGCTGCTTCACTCTTTGGCATAACCTGTGTGGCCCACAGACTCCCATGGCTGGGCCCTGCCTAGAATTCATGGTGTGGTGCAGTACCCACCTCAGAGGAAGGAAAGGATTTCCCTGCACACTCAGTTAACCCTAAATGGAACCAGAGACTCTCAGGGAAACTGCCATTCTGATGCTGGCCCACCTGCATGCCGCCTGAAGGCGTATTTCTCTCTCTCTCCCTCTCATTTTGTAATAAACTCTGCCTATACTCTATATGATGGCCTATGTGTCTTATCTGAGACCTTTCATCAAAGACAGAAAAAACCTAGGAGCGAGTATCACTGTTCCTTGACATGTTAGGAACAGGCTTTCCAGTCACAACCCTGTGTCCTGTGTCTCTAATGCCCACATAAGCATCTGTCCGTGCACACAATGTCCTGGATTCTTGTATCCATTTTGCATAAATGAGATCCTGGTTTTATATCAGTTCCTGTGTCTTGCCTGTATTGCCTTTCTACTCTGTCAACACACGGCGGAGACATCTGGAGGTCAGCGGGGACAGATTCAGTATATTCATGTTGAAGGTGTGACAGTTTGTGGCCTGGCCATGGAAGGTCATTCATCCTGTCCTCTCCTGCTTCAGAGTGTTTTAAGTCTGTTTCCCCCACAAGTGTGTGGATCATTGTCCTTCCCAGCCCACCAACATGCTGGGTTCCCAACACTCCAACTGCAGGGTGTGGGATGTGCCAGCTGGGTAGAGAATGCCCTCTTCCTCCCAGGAAGGCTGGTGCACTCCTGCTCCATGGTACCCTTGTTGGATGTCAGGACATTTAAATGATAAGTAGTCTTGGCCTAGATCCCCCACCCAATTCCTCTCCAATGTCCCTGGACATGCCAGCCCAATCCCAAGACCCTCACATCTCCCACTCTGAAATCCAGAACCATGACAGGTACACTGGGTACCTAGGTGCTGCAAGACCTGCTCAGGTGCTGGCCCGGGGTGTGGCACTGGCTGCAGACACCTAGGTCTCACACAGTGAATACCACCCTGGGCTGTGGGCAGCATCAGGGCTGCTGTCCTTGCTAGCAGTTGGGTGTCCACCATCTTTTTTTGTCCATCTGGTGTACTGATGTTAACTTTAGTTTGCATTTTCCTAACTGCGGGCTGAGAATTTTCCATAGACTGATGGCCAGATTTCCATTTCCTCTTCTGTGAAGCCCTCTGAATATGCTCTGCCCATTGTTCTAGGAGGTGTTTGTCCTTCCTTATCAGTCTACAGGAGCTCTTTGCATGTTGCATGGTAACAATATTCACCCTTTAGCTGGCACTTGTGGCACAGCTATTACTGCCTTCTGGCTTTGCTTGTGGTGCATTTTACCACTCAATGTTTAAGACCTTATGTAACCAAGTATGCCTGTTTTTTCCTCAAGACTTCTTGGTTTTACTTTTAAAGTCTCCCTAGTCCACAGACAATCCACTGTCTCCTATCTCCTCTTCCACTTTTTTCACTTCAGACTTTACTTATCTTTCTGACCTCATGCAGCATCCAGCCTTACCAGTGCCTTCATGCTGGTCCTTCCGATTCTGCAAAAAAGTGCTCTGTAGGGGACTGGGATAATCTTCCTGGTGGTTCTTTAAAGCCCTCAGTCTGCTGAGTGGGGAGTCTGCAGTGGGACACTAACTTCCCACCGGGTAAGCTATACCACAGAACCACGCATCCATCACTAGATGATCTAACCACTTGTCGGGTCCTGAAGAACACCATGTGTTCTCTGTTCCTATAGGACGTCACAAGTCCTTCTCAAGCACACACGTATTTCATTCTGATCTCCTGACATCATCAGGCAAGGCCCACACATCTGTCAATTAATATCCAGACACATCTCCTCACATACAAAAATCTCAGCCTCTCACCCCAAGGACACGAGGTCCTCCCTGGACTCGCCTGCAGCCCCAAGTCAGTATTCTTATTTATGATTTTTAATAAAAAATGGAGTTGTGCCTTTTCAAACGACATTTGCTCTGTGGACTGACACAGTCGCAGGCCTTCCCTCACTGGTGGAATGAGTCACAGGTGGCTCTCCTGATACTGAACCACCTGGAGTGACTACTTCCTGGGAACCTACTGCTCATGATCACACTGCTGTGCTCACTTCGCCCGTGGCCTCTTTAGATTTCTTTTTAAATCCCGGGTGGTAACTTAGCTTGGTTTTCAGCTTCCTTTTGCAGGCCCCTGGAGCCCATTACAGATGGGATGAAGTTGGCGGCTGATGAGCCTTTGAGGGCTCTGGGAACACGCACTGCCTGAAGGTCAGCTAAGCCTGCGCTCACTGCACCAGGGATGCAGTCTAGAGTTTCATCAACTTTCCAACTGCTGGTATGGAAACTGCCCTGTTTTCCACAGTTTCTTCTAATTTACATTATCCTAGCTTAAAAAAAAATCTGTTTCTTCTAGCTTATCTAATTTTGTTGCCTCACAGTTACTCTTTCTGTTTAAGATATCTGAACACAATTATTCCTTTTACTGTCTTCCTTCTTATTCTCCGCTGTGCACAGCTCTGGTGCTGGAGGTGGAACCCAGGGCCTCATGTGTGCACAGGAGGAGCGCGGCACTGGGCTTGCCCTCCAGCCCTCGCTTTCTCTCTTTTCCCTGCAGCCTCTTGAGATCCTTTTCCCAGAATTTTGAAGAACCAGATTTTGGATTTAGTGCCCTCTGACTTTCATCTGCACAGGGCTTGGTATTTGCATGCCTTCCATTTTCAGGGCAGGAAAGAAACTCCAGAGGCCCCTGTGGTGGCCCATGGTCCAGGTGCCAGCAGGAGGCTAGAGACTTCCCACTGTCACCTGTTGCTGGCCCTTCCCCTTTGCTCAGTTTCTGAGGCTCAGGCTTCCTTCTGATGACAGTCTGTGCTCCTGGGCCGGTGCTAGGTACCAGATGTGCTGGGTGGGGGCCAGATGTGCCAGGGAAGGCTCTCCTGCTACCTTGGGCTCTGGGATTCTGGGACCCGAGTCCTCTGGCCGGTGAGTGGGACACTGCGCAAGGGCAGAGCTCTTCCCACCTCTTTCCCCGGCCCCCTCCTCCTGTCTGGGGAGACAGAGTCCCAAAGCCCGTCGCCACCTACCTGGATGGCTATAGGCACGATCTTGTTGGCCAGGTTCTTGTACAGCAGGCAGATGGGCGCCGCCAGGAACTGGTGCGTGCAGGGATCTGTTTTGTTGGCATCGATGCCGTCCAGCAGCTCATAGTCCACGATGAAGATGTTGCCCTGCTGCGGGAGGCAGACAGGCCGGGTCACTGCCCATGGATTGCTGCTGCCCTTTGGTAGAGCCCCCCTCCTCGTTCACCACAGGAGCTCAGAGTCACAAGGTCATAGCGGGGCGATCCTCGCTGCGGGCGGACCAGGCCTGTCGGAGGCTGTGACAGAGTTCCTTGTTGTGAAGTCCTCCGGCCGCCAACGCACCCTCTAGGGGTGGCCGCACCCTAACCTGGGGCTGACGTGGGGTCCGGCAGGGGGCGCCGAGGGTCTGCGACGTGGGGGGGCGGCGGGGGCGGGGTTGGGACGTCACCGTCACCTTCACTTTAGCCTAAGCCTGTGCACCTCTGCCCTCCTCCTCTCGAGGGGGGTGTCGCGCGTGAACGTGGCGTGAGGCGCTTCAGTCCTCCGTGGGAGGAAGGTGCGGCGCCATCCAGCCTGCAGCTGCCCCCATCGTGGTCAGGCCTGCAGGGCACTCCGGACCCAGCCAGGAGCAAGGCCGGGCCGGGCGTGCCCCTTGTCCTGAGCCACCCCATCACTTTGCTGGACACCGGCACTGACCCCGACCAGGCAGCCCTGGAGCCTCTGGCCAGTGATCCCCACTCTAGGGTCCTGGCTGCGGTGGGGATCTAGCTCAGGACTCCTGCTAGCCAGGAGGATGGGGCAGAGACATCTGCTGGGGCGGTGGGCAACAGAGCCTTCCTTTCTGGGAGTGGGTGGTGTTTGCAAAACTAGGGGAAGCTGAGTCTGAAGCTGGTGTCACTGTTACCCCCAGGGAGCAGCCCCTTCAGGACAATCCCCCAGGGGCAGAGCAGTGGAGACAGAAGGCCAGTTTTCGCCTGCACTTTGATCTAGCTGTGCCCACTTTCACTGCTGCCTGGACCAAGGCATTTCTTGGGTTAAGCCAGACATTTCAATTTTGTGACTCAAAACCAAAGAACCTAATATAAACTGTATACAGCAATCTTGAAGAGCTGTACCTTGGAATAAAAACCACCGATAGGAATACTTACAATTATCATGTGTCAAAAAACCAGGAAGTTCTCTACTTGTGTTCCAAAAAGAACCAGCACAGGTAGAGATAAAACAGGTTTTAGGAGTTTTAGCAGGCCACAGATTGCCATGGGGCCACCAAAGAGAGATGGCAGGAATGACTGGGAATTAAGCATTGTGCCTGGTAGGGAAGAGGGGACAGTGGAGAGAGGGTCAGTGTGTGTGCCAGGAACAGTCCCTGTGGCTGGTAGATTCCTGGATTATTGCCCAGATCCTAACCACAGCTGAGCATGGGGACCACAAGGGGGCAGCTCAAAGGGAAGATGTTCTCCAACCCACCTCCTCTGGAAGTGCCCCCCAGGGTGAGGCTGTGCCTGTCTGGGGCCCAGGAGGGGCCTGTTCTTGGTGGCTGAAGGCACAGATGGCTGCCAGGCCCTTTCAAGACCCTGATGCTCTGGCTTTTAAGGCTCTGTTATTCCCTAAAGTTTGAAACCTACAGCTATGACTCAAGCTTACTGTATTCAGCAACTAAATCTGCAGAGGAATACTGCCGTGTGTGTGTGTGTGTGGGGGGGAAGCTGTGTGGCAAGAGACCCTGCCAAGCTGGGTCCAGCATGGATAGCCAGGATAGGCAGTGGGGAGATACAGAGGGCTGATGTTGGGACCATCAGTCCCCAGGGTAGAAGGTACCTGACACTGGGTCCCACCAGATTTGGGAGGACTAGGTCTGAATCAGCTCCAGCTGCCTAGGAAGTGCGGGGCTGGAAAAGGCTGGGGAAGGCTGGGGCAGGAGTGACACCAGCATTTCTCATTAGAGGGTTTAAATTCAGTCATTTCCACTCATGTTCTTGCATGAAGCCTGCTTCTTTCTCTGGTTTCCTCACAGGTAGCAATTTGAAAACAGTATGTGCAAAGCACCTGTCACATGCCTGACCCACCATCTGCCCCTAGCCAGGGGCAGCCCTTGTAATCGTGGACATTGATATTGAAAATTGTGGCATCAAGTTGCCAGATGTAAGTATGATGGAGAACAGCCCTTCAGATCTTGATTTATGAGGCCCAGGATGCCCCCCCCCATGCCCAGGATCCTTATCAGCACTGCTACCAGGAAAAGGAGGAGGCTGCCAATCTCACGATCTCACATGGGTGGCCAGCTAGCCAGGCCTGAAGGTGATGCCTGGGGACCAGCTGGCTGCAGAAGGTGGCTTTTCCGACCCACCAGCAGGCCCTACCTGGATCTCTTGCTCCAAGGTGAGCTGCCGCTCCAGGCTGCACTCCACCATGTCTGTGGTCACTGGGAGCTTCGGGGGCAGCTGTGTGCAGCGCTGGATGAGCACAGGGTTGCAGCCATTTAGGAACTGGTAGCCGAACATGAGGTCCTCCTGCCAGTGCTGCATGACTCGCTCTAGGGAGGAGGCCGGGCTACTGAGCTCAAGCAGAGGGCACCAGGGCCACAGCCCTCCTGATACTGCCCCAAAGCAGAGACTCTGAGGGCCCCCTCTCCTGAGCACCAGAGGGCTAGCTGGACACAGGCTGCACCTGCCATCCCCAACTGCTGTGGGGACCACCCATCAGGTCCTGCTGCTACCTGTTCTCCCTTACTGGCCCTTAGCAGCTCCAGACTCCAGGGCACCCACCCCTCTCAAATCTCAGCTCCTTCTCTCAGCATGCGGGAGGAGGGTGCACTGGAAAGGCATCACCCAAGGCTCTTTGCTGTGCTCCCTACACCTCCTTCCTTAATTCCCGTGGCTGTGTGTCCTTCCCATGCCACCACTGCCCACCATGATGCCATGCTCTACCAAGCACACTGTTAGGGTTTCTATCTGGATATTCCCCAAAGCCTCATAGGTGGGGCTTTTGGAAGGTGACTGGATCATGAGGGCTGACACTCATTGGTGGAGTAGTTCCCTGGCGAGTCTATAGCTAAATGTGACCTTGGGAGGGGAAGCTTGGTGGAGGAGGTGGGTCACTGGGGGTGTGGCCTAGAAGGGTCTGTCTTCCTCCTGCCTTGACCTCTCTCTGCTTCCTGAATGCCATGAGCTGTTTCTCCTCTGCCATGCCACTTGGCCATGCCACCCTGCCTTTGAGCCAGCTGCCTATAGACTGAAACCTCTACAAACCATGAACCAAAATAAACCTCTCCTCCTTAGAGTTGTGGGTGTCAGGTATTGTGTCTCAGTGACAAGAAAGTAAGATAAACATTCAGGTCTGAAGTCCCCAACTTTAAAAACAAGCATTTCCATACAAGGTGAGTCTCACCTTGACTTGGATCACGAGTATCACCAATGGCTGATTTGTGTAAAGAAAAAGTTCTGTTGTTTTTGAGGCTTGTGATGATGAAAGAGGTCATGGGTGCTAGAGATGGAATGTCTCACTGGGGTCTCTGGGTGCGAGGGTGGCCACCGTGAGGAGGGTGGCCTGGGACGCAGGGCTGGGGTTGGGTGGCTGCGTGTGCAAACTCCTGAGTTGTGGTGTGTGGAGCACCCATGCCAGTCTCCTGGCAAATCCAGGACAGGGAAATTTCCCCCCTGCCCTGTCCCCAAACCCTGGAGCCCCATGCACACTCACCGGAAATGGTGTTGCTGATCTTGACGAAGATCTTCTCAAAGTCAGCAAAGTCATGCCAGGAGGACTGGAACATGTGCATGAACCGGTTGATGAATAGGTTCTCCATCCTGCAGAAAGACAGGGTGGTACTCATAAGGTGCTATGCCCCCCATTTCCCAGGCAGGTGGCTTTGTGCGGCCAGGATGCACCCACAGCCACATGACCCTTGCCTGTGAAGAGGCCAGCAGGTGCCCCAAGAAGAGCCTAGAGCCGAGAATCTGCCCTCACCCTCACTCACCCCAGCCTGCATCCCCAGTGCATCCTGTCGCCGCCTGCACTCACCGGTCCACTGAGTCAGCTCTGGCGCCACCCATCCCCAGGTGTCTGCTGCCGTTCAGCAGTCAGTTCTGCGTGAACACCCAAAGCGCAGTCTGCTGCCCCATGCAGCTGCTACCCAGGGCCTGGCCTCAGGAGTGTGCAGGTCACTCACTTCCTGCCTGGGCCTGGCTCTGGGCCTGGTGCTGGGCGGAACATGAGCGCAAACCTTCGTCACGCAGGATGGCCCAGCAGGAACTCGCCAAGGTCACACACAGGCCGCAGGTACCAGGTGAGACGTGTGGCCTGTGTGATCCCGTGGGAAATGAGGCCAGGAAAGGTGGAGGGGGAGGGCCTTCCTTGGCCTCCTACACATTCCTGGTGTGGGCAGAACAGAGGCTGGGCAGTCCTGTCCAGGCCTCACTGGGATGCACCCTGCCTCAGTCTCTCTCTGGCATGCACAGCAGAGAGGAAGGAGGACAGGAGATACACAGGCACATGGTTGTGCCGGGGGGGAGTCCAGGGGCTCTCTGCAGAGTCTGAGGTCGGGGACTCCGTCCAGAGTGGACCTGGCTGACAGGACAGAGGGGTCAGACACATCAATTCTGGTGTCCCGGGGAGATGCCCTATGGTGTGTTTGAGGCAGCCAGCAAGGCAGGCTGTATGCAGGAGAGCTGTAGTGTGTGGGCTTATTTGGGCACTGAGTATGGTTCTAGGAAGTGTTGGGTGTGGAGTTGAGGAGGCTTGGTGGCCTAGGAGCCACCCACAGGGCTGATGGAGCACATTCCTGGGTGTGTCTGGGTGGGTCGCAGAGCTGTGGCCTGGGGGTCCGTGTCTGGTCCCTGCCCATTTGCTCTCTGGCACTGTTCCCTGCTCTATTTCCTGGCTGCCATGGAGTGAGAGGCTTTCCTCCACCATGCCCTTCCTCCATGATGTTCCTGCTGTGGAGCCAGCTGGCTCTGGACTGAATCCCTGGACACTGTGAGCCAAATTAAACCTCTTCTCCCTTAAGTCTACTATTGGGTCTCAGTGATAGGAAAGTGACTGACTATTCTCTCTACCTCTGGTGCTTGCATCACTTTAACCTGCCCTTGTGGCACATTCCCACCTGTGACTGTCCTGCCAGCCAAGCAGGCAGGGAGGCCTCATAAGCAACCCAAGAATGTAATGACCCAGCCTAGCCCTGTTTCCACCTGGCCACCTCCTTCCTGGACCAGATCCCTTGTGAGCTGGGCATCCTGGGCAGAATCCCCGTGCAGCAAGAGGAGTCAGACCTCTGTGGTCTCTGGTGTCCCTGTTGGGTGGAAAGGACTTATTTTTGTGGGAGGAGAGGCCTTCCAGACCCCTGAGATCCTGCTGGGGCTTGAGGAGGGCCCAGCACCACATGGTGCCTGGAAATGAGGTCCTGTGCCAGGGTGCCCACCCCAGTAACTTGTGGGGAGCTGGAGTGAGTCACAGCCTCCCCAGCTGGGCCCTCTGACACAAGGCAGAGGTTGGCACTGAAGTGGGTGGAGTTTGGCCATCCTCAGGGGAAGGCACAGAGCCAGGAAGAAGTGGGGTTGGGAGGAGAGTATTTGCCTGGCATCTGGAGGCAAAATACTTCTGCATATGTATGGGCAAGCGGAATACTCAGGACTTCAAAGATTTGCATTTGCACAAAAGAGGCAGCTTCAGCTTGGACAGCACACGTGGCTGGTTCAAGGGGCACAGCCAGGGAATGTCATAGCCAGGTGACAGCCTGGCCAGGTAACAACAAAGCAGGCAGGCACCTGATGCCTATTCCACAGCCTTTTCCTGTGGAGCCTGGGTGGATGCTGGCGTGGCCGAACATTTATTTCCCCCTGCCGTGCTCCCTCTCCCACTTCTCCTTTCCCATTTCGAGGCTCTGACTTTGGGGTGATGACAGAGCTCATGGAGCAGGGCTTGGCCCCTTTCTGTGCAGCAGATGGCCGGAGGAAAAGCTCATTTCCCAGAAGTGGCCGGAAGCCAAGCTGCCCAGAGCAGGGGTGCAACAGGGAAGGGCTCCACAGTGACCTCAGCCACGATTTTCAGTTTTGCACCGGGGGAGGGCGCTTGCTGACCACAGCAAGGCACATGCCCAGCTGCCCAGGAGTGCAGAGCCTGGCTTGGGTGTATGGGCAATCAGCCCTGCAGAGTGGGGTCTGGAATCTCAGAGTTCCCATCTCCTGCCATGCACACAGGGTCTGGCCACAGACCCTGCATGGACAGGCCCGGCGGGCACAGATGAGTGCCCTGGGCCATCATCCCAGCACGGGGCCTCAGGCCCAGTCCTGATCCTTGCAGTGCTGTCACCCCATTTATTAAGTGGACCAGAAGTGTGGTGCTGGCCACCGGGCCAGCCTGATCTCCACAAAGCACTGGAGTCAACAGAGTGACTCCGACCACATTCTCACTTCCCGCGCGTGAAATCCCAATGCCCCGTTCCTCTGGGCCTCCTCACATTTCTTCTCCTTTTCCCCCCAACCCAGTTCTTCGCCTGAAGATCCCTTCTCTGCCTTCACGGAACCAGTGCCCAGGGTGGCCACAGTCAAAGGGCCCTGGTTAGCATGGAGCCCTGGCCTCTCAGGAGAGGCATCTGAGCACTGTCATGTCCTTTCCTGAAAACCTCAAGTGCCGGCCTCCATGGTTCCGCCTGTCCCTGCACATGCTGGCCTCTGTGCCTCCTTGTGCTTTGTGCCTTGGATCCTTGGCCATATGGCCTTACGAAGGCCTCACCTTGGTCCTGCACTGACAAGGATCTCATGGCCCCAGTGCCTTCTCCTTGGAGCTTCATATCTATACATCTGCACCCACCCGGGACCCACCCATGTGCTGGGCACTGGTTACCTGTCACTAGTGCCGTCCTGAGGATGGGATGGGCTGTCCACTTTTGCAGTGCATATGTGAGGAAGCCTGGCTTGATCTCATAATGGCCCCAGATGCAAGAGGATGCTGCAGGCGCCTCAGAGATCCCAGGAAAAGCTGTGAAGGGCTTCCTCTAAGTGACAAGGGACGCTTGAAGGTGGGTTTGTGGGAGCAGAGTTCAGTGCTGTCTGCAGTTTCAGTACCAGGGAGCCTGGAACGCACTCTGCATGGTAACAGAGGCTACTGTAGTTTGCCCCACTGCAGAAGACACACAATGTTTGCCACATCAGTGTGACTGTGGTGTGACCACTGAAAAAACCGTTTTTAGGAAAACGTCACTTTATACTCTGTATTAACAGTCTTATTATGTGACCCATTTTTTTTGAGACAGGGTCTCAGTATATGGCCCAGGCTGGCCTTCAACTAGGGGCGATCCTCCTGCCTCAGCCTCCCAAATGCTGGGATTATAGACATGTGCCACCATGCCCAGCTACATGACCCATTTTTTTTTTTTTTTGATACTGGGCATCGAACTCAGGACCTTGTGCTTTCGAGGCAGGCACTGGAACCACTGAGCTAAATCTCCGGCCTTACATGACCCATTTTTTAAAATAAACAACAACAAAAATGCTATTTTAGTAAGTCAAATTGACATTTTCTAGGTTCCTTTAACTTGAAGGTGAGACTTCTCCGCCAATATTTTCTCAACAAATTGATGTTTCCAATGGCCACGTCTCTGATTTAATAATAGAGTTCAGTGTCAGTAAACAGGGCAGAGACAAAGAAATACGCTTTGTGGGCATCACTAGCAGAAGGAGGGTGCTATGGTTAATATCTGGATGTCCCACCAAGGCCTGGTGCACTCAGAGGTGAGGCTTGTGGCAGGTGATTAGATTAAGGGGCAGAAGAGGTGGTCATGGGGGTGTGGCCTGGAAAGGTCCAGCCCCCTCTCTGGCTCCTCCCTTCTCTCTGCTTCCTGGCCACCATGCTTCAACCAGCTCTTCTCCACCCAGACCCTTCCATCCTGCCTTCCTGCCTTGGAGCCAGCCAACTATGAACTAAAACCAGGAGGCATAAACTCCTCCTTAAGCTGTGAGTGTTGGGAATTGTGTCCCAGGGACAAGAAAGTGACTAAGACAGAGGGGACTGTTTTTAAAATGTTCAAGAGCTCATGGCTACCTTCAGTGCCAAGAGTCCCCTGACTCAGGTTTGCCTCAGTGCCCGCTCCCTCCTCCATGGGGACTGGGCGTTGTCCCTCACTGCTGCCCAGCCTAGCCTTTCTCAGCTGCCCTTCACGGCTGCTGTCTCCTCTCCTCAGCACCTGCACCTTCCACAGAGGCCACACAGCTTGTAAAATCACTCAGAATCTGCACCAGACCTAAGCATGTCCAGCTATCTTTGAATCAACCTCCATGCCCCTAATGCCTGATCCCTGTTGATTTTAGGTGACAGCTGTTGTTCTTAGTGCCAGGATGAGGAGAACTTGAGTACTGTTCAGCGCAGATGCCATTTCTTATTCAAGACTCTCAGTTCATAGTTGGTGGAATGCAAGGACATGGCCCACAGGACAGCACAGACCCTAGTATAAGGACAAGGATGCTCTACTCCTGCCCCAGGCCATCTGTCCATCAGGGTGAGCTGGACCCTGGCCACCTCTCCTGGCTCAGTCCCTTCCAGTGCAGTCCTACAGCCTAGGAAGGAAGCTCTGCTGAAATGTCGTTCAAAGCAGATGCCCAGCTTATTAGTCTGTACGTGGATGAGAAGTACACGAAGTGCCCCTCCTAGAGCCACCAGGAAATGTCACAACCCAGCGGTCCTATGAGGGGGGCCAGGCTCTTCCTTCCCTGCGGTGCCTGCCTGCGTCTTCCCAGATAGTGACAAGGCCAGGTAGGGTGCCCTTGACAGTGAAGCCTTCCTGGCCCACCAATGAGAGAATGCCAGTGGGAGAGGGTCCCCAGCACCCTTGGGTGTGGCCAGACAGCACTGGATGCCACGGTCTTTGTCAGCCTCTGAAGTGTGTAGATTCCCCCTGAGGTGGCCCTGCCACCCTGGGGTGGACCATATTTGACCCAGGTTCTCAGGCCTGGCCTCTTTAAGGACTGATTCGGGCAAAAATCCAGCAGCACAGAGCTGAGTATCTGCCACCTTCCTCAAGGTGCCTTGTGGATGGTGCTGGACCGCCCTCCACAAGTTCCTTCACTGCAGAGTGGATGGTGACCATGCCACCTCATGGGGCACTGTGATGGGTGGATGGGGAAGCCTAGCATCCATCAGCACTTCACTGTCACCTTGGTGACAGCCCACACCCTAGAAGGGTGGCCATGTGGGTGGTGACAGAGTGTTCCCCCAAAGATACCCAGAGTTGGAGTCCCCTGGCCTTGACTGTGTGGACACAGCTAGTGGCTGGGGACAGAGAACCCACCCTTGGCCAAGGTGATAAAACTTGGCAGGAGCTGCTAGGCCAGCCACCACCCAGGCCCAGGGACCATGGCAATGGGAGGGGATGCTGCCCCTGCCATGGCCACTGCAGCACTTGGAAACTTACGCTTTGGAATAGTTCAGGACGAAGTCCACACCTTTCTCGCTGTCAAATTGGATGTCTCGAGGTAAATCTTTGTGGCATTTTGCATCTATACTCAAGGGGAAGCCTGGGTTCCACTCCATCCACCTAGCAGGCAGAGAAGCAATCCTGGTTAAAGCTGGGCTGTGCAGTAGCCCGGAAGCTGAAAGTGGCCGGTGCTGTCATTGATGTGCCCATGATATGGTCAACATGTCACAGGCCGACTCTACACCAGTAAGGCCCTGTGAGGGAAACAGTGTCACCTGTACAGAAAGGAAGGAGAAGGAAGCCCCAGAAACCTCCCTCGTTGGATCCAACCCCAAAGAGCCCTGTCCCTGCAGAGCCCGCTGTACCCATCCAGGAGTCAGGAATATGACACCTGCCAAGTCACCCCAGCCTGGACATTAGCTTGGTAGTGTGTGTTACTGGGCTGCATGCGTCTCCTGCCTGTGGTGGTCAGGAAGCTCTAGCGCCTACAGGCAGTAGGCAGCAGCAGATATGGGCAAGGACCCCCTCAGGCACAGACTGCCAAGGGATTGTCCCCTTTGACCTTCCAGCAACAGCAGGATTAGAGACAGATGCAACTGAAACAGCCTAAATCCAATAACAGGGATTACATCCGGTGACCTTGGAACTAATCCCACCGCACTGAGCACTCATATTTTACTTTTCTTTTGGTTCACTTATTGACCCAACTTGAGCTATGGAAACAAAACAGAAACACCATTCATTTCCTTGAGGCAGAAGAAAAGAACTTGTGCTTGTTGAAGGCCAAAATTTACCCGAGGTTTCAGACTTTTCACTTGTATTCCTGCCTCTCCTTTCTTTTCAACCTCTCCTTCAGGAGGAAGATTTTAAATCATTATGTCTTGCATATTTTTAATTGGATCTTGTGGTTTTCCTCCTGGAGAGATCCCTGCTGTTTTCCATGGTGTCCCTGGCCCCCAGCAAGTCTCTGGATCATGACAGTTGACCAGGAGCTGGACAGGATCACTCAGGGACAAGGCATTTGGGGAAGCATGTCCTGTCATGCAGCACAAGGGCATTTAGAGTGCTTCCCGAGGGTGTAGCCCTGTGCATTTCTCACTGAGGTTTGCTATGGCACTCTGCTTGCTCAGACTTTAAGAAACTGGCTGCTCTGCTTGTGTAATGGCCAGGCCGGCACACTGGCAGGGACAGCAATGTACACAAGTGTGCAAAGCAGTTCCTTCTGTTTCCTTAGGGAGTAGACCAGGCATCTCCAATATACATGTAAGCAGGGCCAGGGCTTCTGGGAGCTTGGGCAATTACTGCAGGAACTGTCCATGGCTTAACCATTGCCAGGCATGGCAATGTCAGCATTCCTAAAGAGCTCCTCTTGGCCACTGGGCAGCTCAAGGGCACTAATGAATTTTTTTTTTTTTTGAGACAAGGTCTCACTTTCTAGCCCAGGCTGGCTTTGAACTCACTATGTATCCCAGGCTGGCCTCAAAATCACAGCAATCCTTCTGCCTCAGCCTCCTGAATGCTGAGATTACAGGTGTGCACCACCATGCTAATGGTTTTAAGAGCTTACTAGAGTTGGAGTTTCTCAGTATCAGCAAGGGGACAAGTGCCTGCAGTGACATCCATGTTTTTTTAGGTGAAGTTTGCTTGGAACAAGGTCAGCTCTTTGGCCTGCACAGATGGAACTGTCACTGCCACTGCCTCCCAGCTTCTTAGGTGCAGCCCCCAGGGTCAGTGATGCCACAGTGCCCATGTGAGGCAAGGAGATGACAGGGCTTCCACACAGGGACAGAGCAGTTGGCCAAATGGCCGCGGCCCTTCCTCAATGCCCTGCGAGCCCCTGACAGGTTGGCTGGTGGGAGCCACACACCTCTGCACCACAGATGTGATGGGTCCTCGGGTGCGTAAATCATGCACTTCCATGTAGAAAGACTTCCTCCCACCACAAAACACAAATCATAAATTAAGATCTCAACAGAGAAAGGGAAAGAGAACAGTCACTCTGAGACCTGCTCGGTCTCCTTGGAGACAAAAGTTTAGTTGTTCTGCATTTAAGTTTTGAGCAACTCTCAGGGGCTGGAAATAGAAGGGCTGCAACACAACACACACAAGACCACCGAGACACAGAGCCGTGAGTCAGACACATGCAGCCAGATACAGGAGATGGAAGATGTGAAAAGCAAGAGCTCCTGAAGGAGGTGGAGGGAGAGACCTGAAAGCAAAGCCACCAGAGAAACAGAAAGAAACCTCCTGGAGCTAAACAAGACTTCCGCTTCCTGATTTAAGTCCTGGATAGAAAGAAAAATGGTCAGACTGTTACTGCAGCTCTCACTGATCATATTGGAAATGGGAAGGCAGTGTGATATGTTAGAGGTGTTTTTAAGATCATATTCTTGCATCAGGTGATCGGGGGGATAGGCTCAGGTGTGATGCTGCCCATGCACGTTAACGGACAAGTTCAGCGGAACAAAGCTTAGATTAGAATGAACCATGAAATGCCAAGATTTTATAGTAAAGTACGTTTGTTATAAAACAGAGCAAATAGGATATTCAGCATAGAAATAAAAACTGGAGAGGGATGTTTGTTGTTAGTACTATTACTTGTTTTGTGAATTCCAGATATGAAGTAAGAAGACCCACGGGTGCAAATAACGGAAATTATTTAACAATTAACTGACAAGACAAGAGAGGAGGTAGACAGGCAGAGCACAGGGGAAGCCCACTACATAAACCCTAGTAGCCCCTCCTTATCTCCAATAAAGTCCAAAGGATACAATGGGGGGAGGGGCTACTTAAAGGAAAATTAAAGAAAAATATGTTCACACTTACGCACTTATACATATACATATACACATATACATATACACATATACATATACACACACACATACATGTATTTCCCCTCTGGGGCCACTACATTGCTGCAGTAGATACACATGCATCCCCCTACTTAATCACTAACTCCAAGGAAACTTGTCTGTGAGGCCCCTCCTGACCAAGCTATAAATCTCAGAGATAAGGCCCTGACAAGGGCAAACAGGTGGGAAAAATTCAAACAACGCCCACCCAGGAATGCGTACCTAGGCGATGATGCCCAGGTTTGGGTCCTGTGGCCTGGGATCTACCTAAGACAGCCCAGGGAACCAATCAAGTTGTGATAAATTCCAGATATCCGCCTGGGAGAGTCTTCATCACCTGATGAAAGGAAGCTGAGGATGAAGGCTGACAGGCATCCACATCTGGACCCCTTGCCTTCATCTCACACAGGGCAGCTCTCTGTCTTCCCTTCTTCCTTCTCACAAATATAGTAAAGTGTCTTCCCTTTTAAACTTTGTCTGTTTAATTCATTACTGATGCTGGGTTTATGATCCCAGTTGGCTGCTAGTCCCAGCAGAGCTGTGGTGTGTTGCACACCCCTGGACATGACATCAACACAGGAAGTGACATGAAAGAAGCTTCAAGGCAGACCATATACAGGTTTGGACCGGGGAGGCCACACACGGACGCCAGCATCCTCTGTCCCCATAACGGAGCACGGCTGGGCCACCTGCTTCCTCACAATCTACCTTTGGGATATTTGCACCCCATAAAGAAACCTCCTGCCCATAAGGTCACTCCCCATCCCCATCCTGGAATCCAGTTTTAGGTAACCACTAACCCACTGATCTCTCTAGGGTTTGTGTACTCTGCACATTTCATGTAGACAGAATCATACAATATATGCTCTTTTGGACATGACTCATTCAGCACAGTGTCCTTGAGTTTCATTCTCGACTTAGCATGCACTCATGGTTCATTTTTTTTAATGCCAATAACATTTCATTGTATAGATATACCATGTTTTATCTGTTCACTAATTAATGGAAATTAGGTTGTTTCCACTTTTTGACAATCATGGATAGTGCTGCTATACATACGTGCTTACCAGTTTTTGGTGCAGGCATACAGTTTTATGATTTTAAAAAATTTTTTTGTTTATTTTTTGTCAGTGCTGGGCTTCACGTATGCTTGGCAAGTGTTGGACCATGGAGCTACACCCCCAGGCTTGGTTTCATTACTTTTGGGTAGATACCTAGGAGTAGAACTGTCAGGCCACACAGTAACTCAATTCAGGATTTTGAGGAGCCACTGACATGTTTCCCCAGGTAGTGGCATTGTTTCACATCCTGGTACCCATGGTGGTATCAGGGCTCCCATCAGCCCACACCCTTGGTAGCCCTGATAATACCTGTCTTGACGCCAGCCATCCTTGTGGGTATGAAGTGGTAGCTCGTGGTTTTGATTTGGACATTCCTGATGGCTGATATACTTATTGGCCATTCATACATGTTCTCTGGAGAAGTGTCTATTAAATGTTTTGCTAATATTTAAACCAAGTTACTCATATTTTTAAAAAAATTGATTTGTCAGAGTATGTTGCCTATTTTAGATTCAAGTCCCTTATGAGACGTATGATCTGCAGACATTTTTCCATTCTGTGGGTAATCTTTTCTCTTTCTTCATGGTGTCATTTGAAGCACAGAAGCGTTGATTTTGACAGAGTCTGACTTGGCTATTTTCCTTTTGCTGTCTGTGTCTTGATGTTCCTAAGAGGCTTTGCTGAACTGAAGATGGTGAAGATTCACTCCTATGTTTTCTATGAATTTTACTCTATGAGTTTTCTAAGAATTTCAGCTCTTACATTTAGGTCTACAATTCATTTTCAGTTAATTTTAAAATTTTTATTACAGATCTATTGAGATATAGTTCACATACCCTAAAATCAACCCCATTTCAAATGCACAATCCAAGGCTTTTAGGGTATGCACAGATGAGTGTAGCCATCACCATAATCAGTTTGGGGACATTCTTACTACCCAGAATGAAACCCTGTATCTTTTAGCCATCACGGCCATCTTGTCTCCATCCCAACCCCAGGCAAGTGCTTTGGTTTGGCGTAGTGACCTGCAAAGCCCCATGTGTCAAAGGTTTGGCCCCCAGCCAGTGGCACTACTGGGAGATGGTTCAACTTCTAGGACAGTGGTGGTGAGCCTATGGCATGTGTACCACAGTGGGCATGCAGAGCCTTCTCTATCAGCATGTAAGCTAAGTTGCCACAGCAGCTGACCATCAGATATTCAGGTTTAATTGCAGTGTTGGCATTTTGCAATAAATAAGTGGGTTTTAGGTTGTAGTTTGGGCACTTGTCTCTAAAATTTTTGTCATCACTGCCGTAGGAGGTGAGGCCTCATGGGAGGAAGTCTGGTCATTGGCAAAGGGCCTGTGGAGGTGACAGTGGGAGCCTGGCCATTTCCTGTCTCTCTTTGCTCCCCAGCTTCCAGGTGTGAGCAGCTTGTTCCACTGTGCCTGCCTTGCCATGCTATCTCATCACAGCCCAAATCATTGGGTCCCCCAGAACACGGACTATAGCTGCCAACATGAGTCAAACAAACCTTCCCTCTTTTAAAATTGATTATCTCAGATACTTTGTCATAGTGATTGCTGATGTATTTTTGGTCTTTAAAGATTTACTTGTTCTGGACATTCCTTGCAAAAGGAATCAAACAAGAGATGATCTTTTATGACTAGGTTCTTCCACTTAGCACGTGTTCAAGGTTTATCCACATTGTAGCATTCTTCAGTACTTGGGTCCTTTTGAGGCATACAGACACACCACAGTCTGCTTATCCACTCGTGAGTTCATGGACATTTGTGTTGAGTTCACCTTTTGGCTATCATGTGTTATACTGCTACAATTGTTCCAGAGAAAGATTTACTTTTGTTTGTTTTGTTTTGCTTCTTTTGGGTATATGCCTAGGAGTGGAATTGCTGGATCATGTAGCAACTCTAATAACTCCAGGAGCTACCAGACAGTGTTACAAAGCAGGAACACCCTTTTACATTCCCACCAGCAGTGTATGAGGGTTCTGATCTCTCCACATCCTAGTCAAGGCTTGTTATGACTTTGGTTCTTACAGTGCTAGTGGGTGTGAAGGTGTGTCTCACTGAGGTGTGGGTCAGCATCTTCTAGATGACTAATGTGCCAAGCATCTCTTCTAAGCTCCCTGGCCATTTGTATATTTTCCTGGAGAAATGTCTGTTCAGATACTTGCCTATTTTTAATTGGACTATTTACCTTTTATTGAGTTGTAAGAGCACTTCATGTATTTTGGATACAAGTCTCTTGTCTTAAATGTGATTTGCAAGAAATCTGTCCCAGCCTGTGGGTAATCTTTCCACTTTGTTAAGGGCACCCTTTGAAACATAAGTCTTACAATTTGATGATGTCAGTTCACCCATCTTTTTTTGTTACTCATGCTTTTGGTGACATATCTAAGGATCTTTTGCCAACTGAAGTCATGCAGATTTTTTTTCAAAGAGTTTTATAGTTTTAGCTCTTACATTTAGGGTTTGACCCATTTTGAGTTAATTTACGTATTTGGTGTTAAGTAAGGCCCAATGCTATTATTCTTCATGTTGTCTATCAAGTTTTCCGAGCACTGTTTGCTGAAAGGACTATTCTTTTCCATTGGATTAACTTGGTCTTTCTGTCAAAATTTAATTGATCATACATATAAGGCCTTATTTCTGGATTTTCAATTCTATTTCAGTGATCTACTCTGTGGCTTGGATCTGGAATGTTCTCCCAACGCCTTGTGCTTAGAGCTGGGGCTCTTGGAAGGTTATTGGATTTCAGGGGCACTGGGCCCACCAGTGGATTAAGAGGTGAAGCCTGGTTAGGAGACTAGGTCACAGGGGACCTGATCTGGACAGGTGCATCCCCCTCCCCAGCTTCTCTCTTCTCTCTGCTTCCTGATCCCCATGATGTGAGCAGCTTTCCTCTGCAGCAGGCCCTTCCACCATGCTGCTCTGCCCGAGTCAGCTGACCATGGACTGAAACTGAGCCCAAATAAATTCCTATGAGTTGAGGGGTCAGGTATTATATCTAAGCCATGAGATTGTGGCTTAGACAACCTGTGTATCTATCCTTATGGCAATATTACATTTTGTGAATACCACAGCTGTGTTGTAGTTTTGATATTGGGAAGTACAAATCCTCTAATTTTATTTAATTTTTTTCAAGATTGCTTTGGCTATTTTGGTCTCTTGTATTTTTGTATGAACTTCAGGAACAGCTTGTCAATTTCTGCAAAATATTCAGCTGGGATTTTAATGAAGACTATATTGAATATGTACATCAATTGGGGATTATTGCCACAAAATTAAGTCCTGTGATCCATGAACATGAGATATTTTTCAACTTATTTTGGTCTTTAATTATTTTCAACATTTTAAGTTTTCTTGTATTAGTCTTAGGTTACTTTTGTTAAATTTATTCATAAATATCCTATTTCTTTTGATGTTATCATAAATGGAGTTAAAATTTTTATTTTCAGGTTGTTGATTGCTACTGCATAGAAAATACATGATATTGATTTTTTATTTACTGATCATGTGTCTTGCAACCTTGCTAGTTTATTAGTTCTAATAGGTTTTTTTTTTGGTTTGGCAAAAAATTGCATAGAATTTTCCCTATGAAACATTGTGTTGTCTATGAATAGTGCTTATTTTGTTAATTATCATCCAATGTTATGTCTTCATTTTAATTTTTCTTCTCTATCTTACCTGTGTAGACTCTCCAGGGTAAGGATGGTTACAAGTGGGAAAAAACATCATCCTTATCCTGTTCCTAGATCTTAGGGGAACCATCCAGTCTCACCTTATTAAATATGACATTAACTGTAAGCTTTCTCTAATGTCCTTTATAGGCTGAGAAAGTTCTCTACAATTCCTACTTTTTGAGTGTTCTTATTGTAAAAAGGTATTGGATTTTTAAAAATGCTTTTAAAAAAATATCTATTGACATGATTATGTGATTTATTTATTCATATGGTGTATTAAATCAATTTTTAGATGTTAAATCAGCTTTGTATACTGGGGATAAATTCTGCTTGTTCAATATTATGCAAGGCTTGCTGAATGTGGTTTGCTAAGATTTTGTTGAAAATGTCAGCATTGTGTACCTAAAGTAGGATACTGGTATGTTGTTTTATTTCTTTACGATGCCTTTGCATGGATTTTTGGAAGTTTAGGCAGATAGGTATTAATTCCTTAAGTGTTTGCTAGAACTTACCAGTGGAGCATCTAGGCCTGGGGTTGTATTTGTAGTAAGTTTTAAGTTATTAATTTGATCTCTTTGCTTGTGACTAGTGCATTCAGGTTACTTCTTCCTTCTTAGGCCAGTTTTGTAGTTTATGTCTGCCTGGGATTTGTCCATGTCTAATTTGTTGTTGTACAATTGTGCACAGTACTATTTTTATTGATTTTATTTTCTGTAAGATTGGCAGTAATGTTTTCTCTCATTTCTAGTTTTAATAATTTGATTCTTTTTTTTTTTCTTGGTCAGTTCACTAAAGATTTGTCGACTTTGCTGTAGCTCACATGTCACTTTTACAACAGAATTCAGAAGACACAGAGAGCAAGAGCAATCCTTGAACCACAGCGGAGACAGCAGCCAGGTAACACAAGCTCTTACACCCCATCCCTCCCACGCCAGGGAGCTGATCCCAAGTGTCTTCCACACTAACTCCCTTTGCCACCTCAGCCTGAAATGGCAGCTAAGGTGCCACCATGGGGCTGCAGGAGCCTTGAGACCTCCCTCCCAGCAGAGGGCACCAGCTGTTGTCTGTCACACTCACCGATACTGTTTCTGCCGTGTCTCCAGCTCCTTGCGTCGGTGCTGCTTCAGAATGTGAATCTGGTCATCTTGGGCCAGCTTGGCTGCAGAAAAAGCACACATATGAGGATCCTATGAAAGAGCAGTGGTGAGGTCCTGTGCCCATTCACTTCCCATGCCTGGTCCCATTTATGCAACTGAACCAATGCACCTTCATTTACTAAGGTGAGGAAACAGGTAGGAGGAGAGGGTGCATAGCTTTGCTCTGGGGCAAGATCACACACCTGGGCCTGTACCACCACCCCAGAGTGCCAAGGAGGTGAGCTGCATGGGTGCCAGTACCTCCCAACCCGGGCTATGCTGAGCCATTACCTGGATCCACACTGCAGAGTTGCAGGGCTCATAAAGGACATTGTTCTGAGCTTGAGAAGATAGAGTAGAAGTGAACAACAGAAAGAGGGCCTCTCTGAAACCCCTTGATGAAAATTAAAGCCCACTGGAAAAGTGAAGAAAATCTCTGCAATAAAGGCATACCAGACCTCCTTAGTTGGGGAAGCAGCAGTGTGGACCAGAGCAGCACAGCTGCAAGCAGATCCCAGCCAGGGCTCCGCCCTGATCCCAGAGGCTGGGGCACACCAGCCCAAGCCAAGGGCCTGCCTGGAAGGAGCTGCACAGGCACACAAGTAACAGCCAGAGGTTGGCCCCAATACCATCAGTAAGTGCACAAGACCCTAGCCAGAAGCTTGCTCACACAACAGGAACTGGGATGCATAGCCCCAGGCCAAAGACCTTCCCAGACAACAGCTATGTAGGGGCCCTAGCCAGTGACACACCTAGATACCGTCCCAAGTGTGCACAGGCCCCAGCCAGAAGCCTACCAAGACAACAGGTCAGCTCAGGGATCCAGAAGGCCACCTTTCTGAACCCAGGAAGTAGTGTACTGGTGAGCAGCAGGGAAAAGACAGCTCTGTGGCTTGCTGAGACTTGAAGACCCCTGGGTGAACAAAAAGTTGCCTCAACAAAGCCACAGCAGGCTGCATCTGTTGAAACGAGAAGACATGTAAACAAGTCTCAAAACCAGACTTCCAGATCACCTAAGGCAACCCCAAAGGGAAATGACATGGACCAGTCTGATACTCAACCACCTGGACTCCCTGAACTGGCAACAAAAGAGGATCTGGAAAAAATGAAATCAGAAATAATTTCTCAGATAACAG